CCATTCCTGATCCCAGGGTGACCTTTGTCTGCACCACTCAAGGCGATTACGTCGGTGTTCTCGAGTTAAAGGGAGGACCCAGTGTGGCCGGTATGAAAACAAGCCAAAACTTCTCATTCGTCGGTAAACACTTCGCATGCCAATAGGTCTTCCGTGTTCTGCAAACCATTCATTTGCAATGGACCTGGTAGTGGAGAAACGGTCCCTTAAGGCCAATAATCTTAGGCGGCGATCTTCACGGTCTGTTGTTCTACGGCGGCGTCCAGTGCCCCTTGTTCTTTGCGTACGGCCTTCTCGAAGCCATGCCTGACAACACCTAACCACAGTGTCTACACTTCTTTGCACTCTAACTGCAATTGCCCGAAAAGAAAGTCCAACTTCCCGAAGTCCCACTATACGGCCCCTATCAAACTCACTAAGTTGACGAAATCGTACAGGTCTCCGTACTCTAGGCATCGTAGCCGATCGTAAAGGATGTCAAGAACCAAAATCCGCCAACGTTGATTCTTTACTGCAGCTGAAATATTCATTTTTAGAGCGTTAGTGAATTAAAAAAAAGCAGTATAAAAACCGTAATGTCCAACTGATAAGGCTGAACATTTTTTCACTTGTTATTTACAGTAAGATAAATACATTCACCAACTTTTATTAAAATAAAACCATTTAAACTGGGTGTTCGGATTTATAATGTCACTTAGTATAATATAATTATACCACGAAATTCGGGTTGGTTTGGTAGGTACCTAAATCTTGAACAGGGACGCATATCAACGAAGACAGCGCCTAACCTCCGAGATACCGCAACTTTTGTAGACAAATATTTTGTTGATCTTTGGATAATTATCACCAGGAGCGGTCGTACAGACCAGTTCTAGATATATAATCAGCCGATTATCGCATCTAGACTGAATCGAAAGACGGAGTTTATGACCCTATTTTATGCTGATAAGATTCTTATTACGGAAATTAGACAATTTTGCCGCGCTTTCCGAACTATCAGAAACATAGTTTCCGAACGCAAAGTTCAAACTGCTGCAGGTTAAAAATAATCTGTTTTTAGCTCAAGGTTGATGTGAGAATATTTTGGAAACCAAAATTCAGCCAATGAACTCTACTGTCTGGAATATCCACAATATTCTATCACTGAAACAAAATACAAAAAATATCAAAAAGACGATATCGATTTTTTGTTTTACTTGCCGCTCAAATAGTACGCATAATAAGTAATCAAGTAACGACGTGGATTTGGATAGAAAAATCGTCAAAGACCAGTCGGATAATCCGTCTCCCTTCTCTCAACAAATGAGTTTCTTCATGGTGTGAAGTATTCTTTCATGCACTGTATCCATTAAACGTGGAATCGACAGAGAAAGAGTTAAAATAAAATGATAGGAATTACAACAAAAATTGTGTGACACATAAGCAACGAATAAATAAGTCGCGGGTCAAAAGTAATCTCGCATGTGAACGTTCTCGTACTTACACAGTGTATCAAACAAACATCATTGATGGAATTTCCCATTTGTTTAACTATAAGCCATAAATATAATCAAGTGAATATATTGGAATCATAAGATGCATGAAAAACAAGCCCTTTTCCTCGTTTTCGTAATAAAAGCGAAGAGGAAAGGATATTTCTCAAATGTACAGTATACTGACCTTGGTCATGCAGGTTATGATGTTCCTTGTTTAGATGATTACGACGCACATATTACAAAACAACGGCCTTGATTTTTCTGGTCGATAGACGAAATACGGCTATATCTTGTTTTCGTCAAATGGGAATCACATTATCCAAAACAGTTGTTTAAATGAAAGATTATCAAATAATTACACTTTAAATGTTTGCGTACGAACATTCGCACGCTCTCATCATTTTCTAGTTTTTTTTATAAGAATTGGAGCACCTTCACTCATGAGTCTTTTTTTATCGTGTGTAGTAGTTTCAAGACTTGGGGCAAGTTCAATGAGTCAGACTGATACAGGTTCCAGAAAGTACATATTTATTTCTAACAATAAATAATGTGAACAATTTTTAATGTTTGAAGCCATGCAGAGGAAAATTAAATTTGTTTTATCAAAATAATTCAAGAGTTTCGCTCATTCTTCAAAACTGCTCACTACAGTTATTGCCAGTGTTGCCACTTGTCCCAATTTTCACTAATAAGACTGGCGCAATTTTCGCTTCTACCTGGACAGGTAGAAACTACTGTATTTGCTTCCCGGATGAACAAAAAAAGAAATAGTATCTCAAGATAGGTCTAACTAATCAGGTTTCTGAATGCTCTCCAAGTTTTTTCACACATTTCTGTCTATAGGATTTACTACTCACGCCTACTGGCGAGGAAGTATTGTAATCGCGAAAATTTTCAAAAATGATATAATCGTGTTTCGTATATGACATGTGCGTCACTCATTTCCGTCGGTCTGTTTCACAACACAACGTGCAGTGTTCTCATTGCAGTGAATTTTTAAGTATCACCAAGTCATTAGAAAAATGGAACTCAACCGAGAACATTTCGCGCCATAATTTATTACACCTTTGAGAGACAATTATCGCCACAAGAATGCCTTGCTGAGTTACTGTCTGTTTTCGGCAACGAAGCGCCACATCAGTCGACAATTTCCCGTTGGTATGGAGAATTCAAACGTGGATGGGTGAGTCTTAGGGACGATTCCAGGGTGGGTGCACCAAAAACGGCAGTCACCCAGGAAAACGTCGATGCTGTGCGCAAACTCATCATTGAAGATAGACATGTGACATATCGCGAGATTGAGGCGTCCTTGAAGATCTCAAAGACCTTAATTCAAAAAATTTAACATGAAGAATTAGGAGTAAGAAAATTACGTTTCTCGTTGGATACCCCACCTGTTGACTGCAGAGCAGAAAGCAGCCAGGGTTAATTGGTGTCAAAAAACGCTTGACCGTTTCAATTCCAGAAACTCAAAAAATGTGTGCAGCATTGTTAGTGGTGATGAATCATGGATTTACTGTTATGAACCAGAAAATAAACGACAGTCAGCTGTTTGGGTGTTCCAAGGTGAAGAATCAACCCCGAAAGAAGAATCACCTCCACCAAGACAATGCAAACTCGCACACAGCCCAAAAAACAAGGCAGTATTTAACGGAAGAAAACGTGGAATCATTGGACCATCCTCCATATAGTCCCGATCTAAGTCCTAACAATTTCTTTACTTTCCCGAAAATTAAAAACAGACTGCGTGGTCAAAGGTTCCAGTCACCAGAAGAAGCAGTTGACGCATTCAAAAATGCCGTTTTGGATCTGCCAGCAAACGACTTTCGAAAATTGGTTCGAGCGCATGCAGATATGTATTAATCTTCAAGGAGAATACTTCGAAAAACAATGAAGTCATTTAAAACTACCTACCGTGTTGTTTTATTTCCATATGCACAACTGCCAATGACGAAACAGCTTTATAGTTTTAGAAAATCGGCCCAGTGGCGGCGGCGAAAGACAAAAAACGAAAAAAAAATTCGCTTCGTTTTTGACGTTTCATAGGATCTTGATCATTTTTGAAAAAAATTTGAGTTCTCAATTATGCAAAAAAAAATAATATTTTCCCATCATTGTAAGGGTTTCCATAGCTGACCAATAGTAAACCTACCAGAACCAGAGAGTTGACTCAGATTAACCCTATTCAATGTCCATACCCTCAATTTCTGCCAAATGAACAACGCTTTTTTTATGGATATCCAGTCTATGGCCTTATGCCAGGGTACAAGGATTGACATAGCTGACAAACAACAAAAATACCAGAGCATAAAAAGATGACTCAGACAACATGACATGATAGGTAGACCTCCAACTTGATGCTGTTTTTGACCAGATAAGTAATACAGAGTAGTAACAACAGGCACAGCTGTTATATTCTTGAACATCACTTTATTGTCCCAAAATAAAATATTTTTCAAATTCAAACATCAACAAATTTTTTATTGGCTTTTACTTTTAAATGCTGTGGAAAGTCATAGTCAAACAACTAGACTCATCTAGTTTATTTGGTTTTACAGATGGTTTTAGCTATGATAACAAGATATTAAAAATAACAAGTACCTATTATCTAACCCAAATTTACCACCCACTATCAGATTTTAATTTCAGTATCTCAATGCACAAAAACTTGTTTAATCCAAAATTCAATTCAGAAGTATGATTTTCCAAATTGACAAAAACGCGCAACTATGTCCAAAAAGGTGGGTTTCATTTCTAAAACCCATTAAGTATTGTCCAGGGACTAGGATTATTGAAGGGAAATTACCTCAAAAAATGGCAAAATGGTCAAAAAAAGATCATTTATATTCAAAAATGTAGATAGGTCATCTCGACCAAAGTATCTATTGCACTGATGTTTCAGAAATAAAAAATATATGTGAACAGAAAGTGGGAGAAGGATACATTTGTGTTGGAGAATATTTTTATGTATGAGGATGGAATAAAATAGCATCATCTATTTTATTGATTTTTTCTGAATATTGATATTGCATTCACAAGCTGCACAATATACCCACATTAGCTTAAATTAATTAGAATTTTAATAGGGTACATTATACAAACACACTGTAAACAAGGCGAATGCCCTCATTTGGTATGCTAAACATTTAGATAAGATAAAGCAAAAAAACACTGGAATTATGATAAATATAAAAAATCACAATTTGGCAATTTCCTCTATGAGGGACTTGCTATTAATAAAAACAATGGTTACCTTCAGTTTGCTGGATATCATTTACTATCAACAGTCTGTTGACAACTAGCTCCGAGTTACATGTGTTAATCATACATCTGTTAATCAAATGAAGGTTTTCCAAATTTTCTAAGAGCTTCATTCAGATGACATCTAGCACGTCAAATTGAGCCATACTTCATACAATGCTAAGTGCAACTGAAGGTAATCAATATTTCAAAAATTTCAAGAATATTCTTGTATGTAACTTGAAGTTAAAATTGTATACTAATTAGAAAAAAAAATCTACTTACACACTGAGATACTGCTGATGAGGATTGTTGTAGGTTTGCATTTCATCACAACTTTCACCACCGGAGCTACTTTCAGTAGCCTCAGAGTCTACTTCACTTTGCACTATAGTCAGTTGAGTCTTTAACTGGGCCGCCACTTTTTGCAGTTCACCCTTGGCATCTGGAGACCAAGGAGGTATACTGATCCCACCGTTAGCAGTATTTCTAAATGTAGGCACTTCCACTGATCCAGATCCAAAGTACTCTGTTGCATGTCGATGCTTCGAGGCAAGGTTGGCTTGTAGTGCACTTGTCATTTCCAGTTTTCTCAGCAGGGTTTTAGCAGAGCCATAGGACATTGGAGATGGTTTTATCTTCTCCAATTCACTTGATGACGGTGCAATGATCATGTTATCATGATGGTCCTTTGCCCTTTTGAAGGATCTTTGGACATGCTCGAACACTCCAGCAATTTCACTGCTGATATGTTGTCCCATCATCCTAGATTGTAGTTTGTATACTCTCCTTCGAAGGAAATCTAGACGTCTTTCTACCTTAGCATGCTTATGTTGCAGATCATTTAGCACTTCCCTGGCCTGAGATTCCTTTTGTTTGTCTATGGTATCGAGTTCATCTTGTTGGTCTTCCATGCTAATGTTCATAACATCCACGTTATCTAACAATTCTTTTTCAAATGATGATAAATTGTTGGTTAAATCAGTCCCAGGCATGGGGAAGATTTCCTCACCTTCACTATTCATATCATTCGGAGTGTTTTCAGGTGGATTATTCAGTCTTTCTCTACCCTCCATAGATTTGATTACCTGCATGATATCTTCCACATTTGGCCCCAAATCACCAGTTGCATTTTCACCCTCAGGGAGAACAGAACTTAAGTTGTTGAGCAGCTGTTCCACATCATTTGATATTTTCTCCTTGTGGATGGTAGAGACATCGAGACTAGTTTTTTGTAAACCCATTTTATTTGTGTGGTCGCCCATAGGTGATGGGCTTACGTTCATGATATCAACAGTGGGAGTTTTTGGGATGTCCGAGGCGCTGCAATTTTCGTCAGAACACTTTTCGAAGTTTGGTTTTGCTATTGCATCACTTACATCTAAATCAAACGGATTGGGACTCAGCTTGCTAGCTTTGGGATAGGCTCCGTTCTGCCTACCTTGGTATTTGTTTTTCTCGTAACTGTTTATTGGAGACGCCGGTTCGGGGTGGGTTTTCGTCGGCGGCAAATTAAAGTTTTTCGTCTGCGCCGCTTCTGTTAGGGCCGGTGCCATGACCTCCGCATGGGGATGCCTCACCGAGGCGGTACGCAATCCCATTCATCCAGTTTTTCCCACTGCAAAGTTTATCGTGTCACCAACAATTAACTACTGGAAAAATCATTACCCCGGGTACTTGATCAATAAACGCAAATATAACTCCATAAGTAAATATAGACCGGCTGTTCGAATTCCTTCCTCTGCTAGTCGCCGGCTAATTCCATACCGAAAACATAAAAGTGAAAACTTGAAACGTACTCGCTAACGTTAGTCACTGGATAAATATGCAAGTCCTCCAGGTGTGAGAAAATCGGCAGGAAACCATCACTAATAATCCACTTTTGGAAATGTACTCAACATTTTCGAACGGCACACTCCCACGTGATAAGACCAAGCTTACGAAACATGCTACTACGGAGCTTATAGCATGGATACGCTTCCAACAAACATTGCACCACTTCACACTATTATTACGATACGCGTTCGCTTATATTTAGCAATCACAGTCTCCCGACGAACTTTGTAATTATCCGACGGTGTCCTACACGTAAAACGCACAAAGAACGAACTGCAACGGGCACTTTTCGCTTAATTTCAGCGTACAACAATGGCGACTTCCTTAAAAACAGCCGAACAACGCACTCCACCATTAACAACCATCGTCCAACAGCGGCGCGCGACGGAGGACGGCCAAACGAGCGAACGAGTCACACAATTGCGGAACGGAACCGGTGGCGTCAGCGCTTTAACTCGACACTTCTTGCACTTTTCTTCTACTTATGATCTTTGCATTTCCTAAGAATATTCTTCCAAAGATCAGTAAAAGGTAAACATCAAATTATATAATACAGCAAAGCGAACATGTACGGACAAATCGACATCTAGATTAAAATTTAAATCTGGGGGCCGGTAATAGCGCGCAACGTTGCCACGCTTCTGGTAACGTTTTCGCTTTTTGGGCGGGCTCGGCCAATAATAATCATAAATATTTATTCATGCCCGAGGCAAATTACAATGAATATTCGTATATTGGATGAACGTGTGTATCATGTGGTATTCACATTTCGTGTCAGAATTTCTCAGGCAGCCATTCTAATCCAATATTCACGTATATATTAACATAGTGCAGTCGTAGAAGATGCAATTTACTCATACAATTTCAAAGTATATTTTAGATGCATCAGTGGCGTAGCTACCTTGGGTGGCACCCGGTGCGGAAGTTGCTGGTGTCACCTCAAGTCGAAAGCAATAAATTTTAGATGATTTTTAAAAGTCATGCATCATTTAATACACAGTAATGGACAAAAGTATATAGACAAATATGAATAGAGACCTAAGGTATTTACCTTTAGAAAACGAATTCATACTTCATTGCTCTATAAACAAATTGCGTTATTAGTAGAAAACCTAAACTCCTTGTTTTTACATTATCTGCAATGAACACAATACAAGTCTGAATATAAGCACTTTTTTATGAGGGATAAAAATATGTAGACAAATTCTTTTCCACATTAGTTTAGTACAGTTTCGTGTCAGAAGAGGATTAGTTTGTGTTCATCAAGTATTGTGGAATAAGTTGAGTGATTTTAAGACCATGCCGCGTGATCTAGAAATTTCTTTCGATGTTAAAACTAAGATCATTGAGTTATACAAAGATGGTCAACGTCAAGTCGACATTGCCAAAAATTTGGAGCTGAAGCGTAAATCAGTGTGGGCACTATTGAACAAATATAAACAAAAAGGTATCTTGGAAGCCTCTAAGAGAAGTGGTCGGTCTAGAAAACTAAATGCTAGACAAATTTAATCCGAAATCGAGACAAAAGGAATTGTCAGTGTTTCTACGAAAACTATGAGTAGAAAATTAAATGATTTGAAGTTATTTGCACGTCGCCCGAGTAAGAAGCCGCTAATCTCGATGAAAAGCCGTCAGGACCGATTACAATTTGCACGGTTGCATCTTGATTGGAGCATCTGTGACTGGCAGAGGGTATGTTTCAGTGACGAATCCAAGTTCAATATCTTTGGATCAGATGGTGTTCATTACGTGAGACGTCCTAGTGGACAAAGATTGAACCCCAAGTACACTTTGCCCACTGTCAAACATGGAGGCGGGTCTGTTATGGTTTGGGGCTGCTTTTTGTGGTTTGGGATGGGACCTTTACATAGAATAGATGGCATTATGGATAAGTTAGTATACACAGACATACTAAAGCATGTCATCTTACCCTGTATGGAAGACAATATGCCCTTACGATCAACCTTCCAGCAAGATAATGACCCGAAGCACACTTCAAATCTCGCAAAGAAATCCTTTCTGGATAAAAAAATACCAGTTCTCAAATGGCCTTCACAGTCTCCCGATATAAACCCCATTGAAAATCTATCGCAATATTTAGATAAGCAAATAAGAGATAAATATTATTCAAACAAGGATGAACTTTTTGCCGCAAAAGAGGAGACAGATTGCTCTATATATTTTTGTCCTTCATAGTTCCAGTTTTTTCAATTAATTTTTTATTGAATCACAGGGCTGTACTTTGTCGCGCCTTCATCGGAGGATAAGGTTGACAGCGACTCGATTTGGTGAAGTTTGTAGAAGGCAGGAGTTCAAGTTATTTTCAATTAATTTTTTATTGAAGGGAGTTGAATGAATTTATTTATGTATAAGTGAGTATTATTCTATAACGAATTATGTATACAGGTTGGTGTATTAATAAAACAAGTTAATAAATACAGCACAATATTAATTTGTCTATATACTTTTGTCCAATACTGTATATTTAAAATATTGAACAAATAAAACACAATAAAACCTAAGACAGAAAAAATATTATCTTTCAATTAAAATCTCTTCTTTCTAGCTTTTACAGCTGCAAACTCAGAAACAACTTCATCAAAATTTATATTTTGTATTCCCTCGTGCTAGATGGCTAATATACCAAGATCGCCAAGCCGCGATTGCGTCATTGTTGCCCGCAAATAGTTTTTTATTAATTTTAATTTACTGAAACTCCTTTCACATGCAGCTACGGACACGCAAACCAACGTGAACAATTTTAGTGCAATCATAAGATTTGGAAGAGATTCTGTAAAATCTCATTCTACAATACAGTTGCGCAATCAGAGACTGTAACATTAGCGGCTTTTAAGTGTCTTCACAGTCTTGGTATCTCCAAAAGTAATTCAGTTTCTGAGACCTCATCATAAAAATCAGTAAATTTTGATGTAGCTAATTTCAGTTATTCAATATTTGGCAAACAATGAAGCTAGGTCTTGAAGAGACTTCGATCTTGTCTGGAGTTCAACTCTGAAAAATCTGAGACACCAGGTGGATGTCACCCCAAAAAAGGTGACACCCGGTGCGGACCGCCCCCCACCCTTGCTACGCCACTAAGATGCAAGTACTTTTCTTCTCACAGAAGCCAACAATATCGGCATATCTTCATATTTCTATTATCGGAGAAAATAAACATTCTTGACATTCTGTTTAGATTATTTCTTTCAATATTAGCTGTTGTAGTCAATTTGAACAATTCTAGAACTAATATTCCATAATTCGTACTAACTTTTAAGCTGGATTTCTAACGTGCACCATACTGAGGTGACACATAGACACAAATGCCAAGATGCAGCTTGAAGACCAAATTATTTCCTCGCCCAAAAACTTTAACGACAGTACAGGTTTACCAGAAGTCAAACATGGCAAATGGATTTCAATATACAAGCTTTTAGGCCTGTATCGGCATGTTTTCTCACTCAAAATGGATTAGGTTTGTACCTCAGCACTTAGAGAAGCTATATTTAGCAATTGTATTCAATAAAGATTTTCAAGGAAATGGAATCAAGTACAAAAGTCTGAACATTAATGTAGTCTAAATTTGACTTTTGGACCAATAGATTTTAAAAATTTTATCACACTCCCTCCAATAGCACGTCAGAGCGACATTTGACGACCGTTTTGGCACCATTTGCTCCCCGAATTCAAACTCATGATCTTCGAACATTTAGTTTAAAAAAGATGGCTGGGACTCTACTTGCAGTACAGCTCCTGAAACCATGGTTCTACCATTCGAGTAGAGAATTTCTTGTTTCGAACCAATAAATTGGCAGCCTAGATAACTAATGTCAAAAGTTGCTTCTTCTGTTTAAGAATAAAAATGATCCGATACAGTTGATTCTTTATTTTTTATGCCTTTGTAGAAACTTCACTTCCGAAATTTTTGCACAGGACTTGCATTTTTATCAATTATTAGCGAAAAGAATTGGTATGAACAGACACCAACAAAAAGGACAAGATTTAAATACATATACTCTGCAGATCAGAATGATAAAAGCTCGATATTTCTTCCCATATGAACTGGGCTATTTGTAGCTGAATTTCCAGACATAAAAAATGGTCTCCAGAATCGAGTATTTTGCGTTGCATATGGCAACTGCGCAAACATAATGGGATGACCACGTTTCAGGCTAACTTCACGCTCGAAAAAGACCACCATTTACAAACTAGCGATTGACGTTTTTGACATTTGAACTGGCGGGAAATTCAAACATCAATCAAGGTGATCATGTAAAGTACGTAGATGTGAAATATACTTAGATTTTTAGGTAACAAATATAAATTTGATGACTTACGGGTTTATAAGAACTGCGGAACCGTATGATTACTAACATTAACAGCGTCCTTATAAAAATTCAGATCAAATTTGTTCTAAAATTGGCATACCACATTTTACATTTTTGTAGATGGTTAGAATACCATTAGCCCCGCTTTCTTTTAAATGCACACTTTATGAGATGCACAGTTTCCTCAAAGCTTACATATTTTCAAATAACGATTATCGGAGAGAATTAATAATCTTTACCGCAGAAAATACGTCACTTTGATGTGATCATATAGGCCTAGGGGCATCTACCGGGACCACCTCGATACAAATAAGTACTTACCAAGCTTTAAAATTATCTGGAAACTCGAAGGATCATCTGAGATAGTCACAGACCTTAGAAGATCAAGATCAAGTGGAAAAGAAATTCTTCGTAAAGATTGTCCATCGTGCGTGAATATATCCGCACTCAACGAAAAATATTAATGTCTCCAGAATTCATCGTACGTCTGACAATTTAACCGTGCCATATAATTACACGTCGAATGTTAACAAATGACCATTATCAAATCAAAAATCAACAGTTTCTTGTCGAATCGGCTTGTACTTCAAAATGTTTCACTACTAATCTTGTACCGAGCTTTTGGTTCTGCATCCCGCAGAAAGCAAATTTGATCAGTTTGATTGCGTTTTATGACATTACAACTTCAAACTTCAAATGAATATTAAGATACGGAAGGAATCAAACTACTTTGCAAGTTTCATTTTGGCAGTTCGTCACAAATCACAAACGAGAATCATGTGGGATTTGATTAGTGTAGTGATGGGGGTGTTGTGTACGATTTCAAAATCATGAATCTATTGTACGTGCTGTGTGACAAGTGCTGGATTCGAAAGCTAGAGTGAAGTATAATTTCGAAGGTCGACCAAATTATACAACGTGTCGATTGATGACTTAACATTCCCAGAATGCAAGCTTCATGGGTTTAGGATCACTTGTTCCTTAAGGCGAATTGATTAGCACCACCGAATTAGCACACATGTCATTTCAAAAATGATTCCCGCGAAAGTGTCAGATCCATGATTAGCGACGACTTTTTATTTCCTGATTGGACTGTAAATTCATCAGCAAAATAAATATTATGCTACAAGACGTACGCTCCAAATCACATTTTCGGCAAATCTCAAAATTTTTAAGCTTTTGGGTTTTTTATATTTGGTATATATCTTCGTCTGTTTTTTTAGTATTTGATATAGTATGTGAGCGTTTTTTACGGGAATTTGGGATATTTACAAAAAATAAGTATATACAGGTATATGTATGTATGCAAAGTGCTTCTTGTGCATATAACATGTTTTTTTTATTCTCACGTGTAGTGTAAAGCGTTAATCAGCGTAATTGATTAGAAGATTATTTATCAGATTGTTTTATTCTGAAAGGAGCTGTGTCAATGTATAATTGACCAATGTTTTCTGTGAACTGAAGCTGTAGCACCTTTCCGTTAAAAAATGTTTCAGCTTTCTTATATATGATCTGACTTAGAGGTGTTTGTTTCACAATATACCGTACTTAGACAAAGCCAAGAGTAAAAAAAATTCTTTGGATTGGGTAGAATTAGCAGTGTGGTCAGCCTTAGCATAGACACCCTATTAATGAAGCGTTTCAAACAGAAAAATGTACTTCAAAAAATAGTCGTACGAGCCAAAGGCAAGGTTCCCTATTGTTATTGTTTAAAATAACAAAAAGACCTGAAACGTCATTAAATAACAATGGCTAATAGACCAGCATTTAATCAAATTTAATCATATAGATGAGCCTTTGAAAGAAGTAAATGAAATTGAATATTTGGGGATTGTTGTTGATCAGCACTTGTAGTAGGACCAGCAAGTGCTGTATGTAAGTGCTTTTACGAAATATTTGCAGCCTAATTCCAAGCAAAAGCTTCTAAAAACGTTCACGATTTCCATACGTTTGAAGAAATTCAGGGACATATTAATTTAGGAAACTAACATAATGACGCCAAAAGTTATATTCTTCACGCCCTTGAAGATGATTGCAGTCTGATACATGCAGAATGGACATCAATTGAAATGATGAAAAGGTATTTCTTACATAATCCTGAATTTAATTATTATTCATGTTTCACTGACGTCTTACCCGAGAAGTCAAGCTTACCAGGAGATACAGGGCATTCGAAAAATAGAGAGAGATATTTCAGAGGGTGATTCCTTGTTAAAAGTATGAAAAAAAAAACTATTGTTTTATTAATACCTCAAAAAGCATTTACTCGATTCTATTGAAATTTGACAGTGCTATTTTTTGTATTAAGAGGCTCATTTAGCCCTAAATAGATGAAAATTATTAGGTCCAGTGGCGTTCCAGGGGCACCTTAGCGAATATTATTGGCAAATAAATATACGCCACTGCCTTTTTTTAATAGTAATATTTGTTGGTTGATTAGGCATCTAAAAATACAACTTCCTTGCCTCTTGTATTTTTTTCGTATCTCACTTAATCTCCAGCTTAACCAGGATTGAGCCGTTGGGCGATGTCATGAAGAGACTCCATAAATAAATTACCCATCTCTAGACGATTTCCATCAATGCACGTGCAAGTTGTGACGTAACAAACTACAAAAATATGCGGGAAATTCAAATACCAAATGCCTGATTTGGAAAAATAGTAAACTAACTTTGCAATATTCAATGTGAGCGTGTTCGATATCGTTTTTTTTTTAGATCACATAATTACGAATCAAATGAAGTTTTTAAGTAAACGAATAAATTTTGGCGACAGCATTCGAGCACATGTGCATTTGTAGGTTATGTTTATTGTCAAAAAGTGGTAAAACAAATATAGGATACTCTAAAAAGGTAACTTATGGCGGACTTTTTGCAATTGAATATACTGGATGATGGAGGAATCGACATCACAAAGGTATTACAAATATATAAATTCTTTGAATAAAAATGACACGAGCTACTTTCTAGGACAATTTTGATTTTCGAAATAAGCCTTTTGCAGATAGTGATGTGTTTGAATCAAAAGTCGAAGGTTTTCAGCAGCTGACAACAGGAAATGATGTTAAAAAAATATATGAATTAGAACTCTCCTCAAAGGTAAACATGTGTGATTCATTTTTAATTGCTCTAGTGTTGCATCAGGATTTAAGAAAAAAAACTTACTTTATATACCTTATTTGTAGATTATATAGAAAATTATTGTGGTACAATTTGAATGGTAGAATAGCATAAGCTAAACTATGCCCAAATAAAGACATCTACAGAGTAAAAGCAATTTATTCCACAGTGAGACATAATACAATTCTTATTTTTCAGTCATTTCAATTTTGGCCAGGAGATGCAATAGGAATATTACCATGCAATGACCACATTGAAGTTGACAAATTATTTATAAGACTAGGCATTGAGAAAAATATCAGAAAAAGATATAAACTTTCCATCAAACCAGACACAGTAAAGAAAAATCCAATCATACCCAAACATATCCCACCTGAGGGTATTTTTATAGACATATTTCTCAATCATGTAGATGTAAGGAAACCTATGAAAAAAGTAAGATTTATTTATTTGAGCAATTATGTACACTGAATTGCTAAAATGTTTATTATTTCCTCTGATCTGGAAGTACAAATATGACCAAACTTCTCCTATATAGTGCATTATTTCTAACATGCTTCTCTTTTGTACCCATGGAAATTTAAAAAGAAAAATGACTGCGCCTTATAAAGGGGCTGACTTGCAAATTTGAGCTCAAAAAAATTGAAATCTATTATTACTGATTTCAGGCTTTCCTGAAGGTTCTCTCAAAATTCACAGAAGACAAGGAGGAGCTAGGGTACTTAGAACACCTAACATCTCCAAAAGGTTCTACAAAATACTTAAACTTCATAAATGGTTTAGGAAGAACACTATTAGGACTACTAAACACATTCCCAAAATCTTTCCCTCCAATAGAAACTATTTTGGAACACTCACAGCCCCTGCAGCCTAGGTTTTTCTCAATAGCATCCTCCCCTCTATCTGGGACATTAAAAATTACTTTCTTCATTGTGGAAAACCCTGATGGAACTAAAGGAGTCTGTACTGGGTGGTTAGAAAATGTTCTACAGAATCAAGAAATTATACCTGTATATTTTAAAACACCAGGCAAATTCAGGATACATGAAGACCCTAAAAGGACTATTATTATGGTAGCAACAGGAACAGGCTTAGCCCCTTTCAAGTCATTTTTAGACCATAGATATTTTCAAAAACATTCAGGTCGTGATATAGGAAAATGTATATTGTATTATGGTTGTAGGTACCGTGATAGAGACTTTTTGTATAAAGATATTTTAGATAAGTATTTACAAGAAGGTGTTTTGTCTAACTTATATACAGCATTTTCTAGAGATGGAGATACTAAATGTTATGTTCAGGACAAACTGAAAGAAACTGGTAAAGAATTTGTAGATAGTTTGTTTATAGATGATGCAGTAGTTTATATTTGTGGTGATCCAAAGACAATGGTGAAAGATGTGTTAAGTGTTATTGTTAGTAATATCGAACAATATCATGACTGTAGTGAAAGAAATGCACAAGATTTGCTGAAGTGTCTTCAAGATGATGGAAGAATTTTAATAGATAGTTGGACTTAACAGTAAAAGTGCTTTCCAATACAATTTTGTCTTTCTTTTTTCAACGTCACAATTGATGCTATAAGTCCATGATCCCTATCAAACTTGATCTTTACATAGGGCTGTCTCCATCGGGAATCCTCCGCATTTGTCCTAATTTGGACATATTTTATTTGAACTTAAACACCCGTGGGGCTATAATAGGGGATACAGAGGAAAGGGAGGAAGCCACACGAACTCTATATCACGTGTGCATGGATGGTACCGCAGCGATCGACAGTCAGAGACCGTCTACCACATACAGACAATCACAACATCCATAGCCAAGAGAAAAATTCTCTTACCACTAACCACTACGCCATCGCTGCTGCCTAGTTTTGTTGCACACTTCAGCACACCTCACATCACCGCTGTAAATCGACCCGCATCACCCTGTACAAGCAGCCAGGCGACGCCATCTCAGTGCGCGTGCGCAGACAGACAATCTGGTGCGACGTTTCATCTGACCCGGATACCAACCCGGTAAAGAAGTGAATTAATATTTGACACGGTCAGTTAGCTCGTACATCTCCGACTATCCGATCACCGATGACACTTACTTACCTGTTGAACAAACATTTCGTATCTAGTTGAGGAAAAACGAGCAACACATGTCTTATTATACTAATGTGCCGACCACTCTGTATGTCGTGATTTTACTTTGTAGACGTTTTTTGGCCCTTTATGATTTCTAAGTTATTGGGCAAGTTGAATTTATGTATAATTTGGAATGAGGAGTGGGGTACGTAGATCATTAATTACGTTTTTGTAATGAAATTAACTTATTTACAATGTAGCTTAATGACAATTTTTCATATGATATGCAGGGTGTTCGGGAAATAGACGGAATTATTTTAGAGGGTGATTCCTTGTTAAAAAATGTGAAAAAGTTTCTATAAACATGGGTCCGGGAATGCAGTTTTTACAGGGTAATAATTTTTTTATTATTATTTTATGAAATATTTAAGATGTGTCTTAATAGAACAAATAATATTGCCAAATTTCAACAGAATCGAATAAATATTATTTAAGATATTAATAAAAATAAATGAATTTACCGACCTGTATCTTCAACACTCTGCATTTCCGGACCCATGTTTATAGAAAGTTTTTTCTTATTTTTTAACAAGGAATCACCCTCTGAAATATCTCCGTCTATTTTTCGAACACCCTGTAAATTGCCAAGATGAAAATTGTTGCTGATTATCTTTGTTACCAATTTATTTCAGAAAGTTTAATAATACAGGATTTATTTAGGAAAAAATAATAATTTAACAAAATTTTAATATCAAACTTAAACGCGGAATTAAAAGAAGACAATTTCAGATTCACATACAAGAAAATGGCTTAAATTTTATTTTGAAGTATCCGATCAAGTCGCATAATTGACGATTCAATTTCGCGAACATAATCCTTATATTCTGCCTCAATTGCAGCCTGTTTATCCATTGGATCAACGTTTATCTCGGCTTCAAACTTTCGTTTCTTGCTCTCGCTAACGTCTTTCTGAAATAGTAATGGTCATATTTAGAGTGTGTCATTTTTCGAATTTTGATGCGCAATACTTTTCAAAAGTTGCAATTGCTTGTTTATATAAAAAATAAAATTTTGCGTTTCGTTGTTTCTTTAAAGTTCCTGAAAAATGATATTTTCTCTGAAAAAAATAACCTCTTGTTTGATATATTTTAGTCTGAAATGCAAGTCTAAGCAAAATATTACAGTTGCTCATATTATAATCTATGAGTAAACATTCAGTATCAGTATAATAATAAACAAATTTACATGCCTACCCTCCCAGTTTTCACTATTAATTACAAACATTAACTATGGCTATTATCTATAATAATTTCTCACATACAATTCTTACCTGAATGTGAGTTTTAATCCGATTTTTAATACCGTCCAGGTACTTTTGGTACTGATCTTTAGTTTTCAGCACACTGTAGCAATTCAAAATATCCACCAGTCTACGCGCCTGTCTTTGGCATACTTTCAATTCACGTATGAATTTTACGGCACTTTCTCGTGACATTGTCACGATTTTTCTGTTTTTCTCTTTCAATTTTTCCAATACTAATAAACTGTCATCTATATTTCGGATTTTCTGGAAAACTGCTGTTGGTTCTTCCACTGAAAATAAAGATAATCTCATGTGTATTGTTGAAAATTTTTCTGAAAAATAGTGAGCTATCGATAAGACTTGCCTTAAAATGCACTATTACTATGGAGCTATGCTAGTAATATAAATGAATAGCGATAGTTGAAACTGAAGTATATACAGTAATATCAAAAACAATGGGCTAACTATGCTTTCTTTTTCCCATTTTGTGTGCTTACCAGTAATATCAGCTACATCTGGCAATGCTCTGAGTTTCTGAGCAATGGCGTGATATAAATGACCCCCTATTCCTCTTCTTTGATGTGAAGGCAAGACAAAGAACTGGCTGATCCTTGGACGAACTTTGTTGGGATAACAGAAGAAATTGTAGATTGAGCAAAAACCGATTGGGGAAACATGAACTTTTTTTGTGACTGGGTGTTCTAATTCTTCGTATCTGAAAATGAAAAAATTTAAATCACTTAACTTCGATGAGACAAATTAAATTACACACTTATAAGGAAAGTCCTGTTATTACACTACAGGTTGTAATATTATGTGTCAGAATGGTGTTTTTTTCAACATTTATTGAAATAAGGCTTTATTTATCTAATTTGTTTTATTTTTACAAAAACAGTGCACTCTAATAAAAAACACAAGAGTAATTATTTTTAACAAAATCCTTGAGGAAAAAATGTTACATAGAAGACCCCCCTTAAAATATGGCGATGTGTATGATGTTTCATTTTTGTCACAACTTGTGAATCACCTAGTATATATAGCACATAAACATTTGGACACTGCTTTAAAACTGTTAAATAGTGATATTAAAAAATTGTGAATTGGTTATTAATTATTCGACATTTTTTATATTGTTGCAACTATTTTTTTTATAGCAAATGAAAACATATTTTCAAAATTACAAATTTCACAAAATAAACCTATGAGAATCATTTTAAATAAAAACAATTATGCTAAGAGACTATGTTAGAACTGCAGTAGTTGAATGTAAAACATTTCATGTTATTTAGTTCTCACTTTCATATTCAAATTAAATCAATACCACCATATTTAAAAATCTTTACAAAATTATTCTTAATCATAACTACAAAACTAAAATTGTAATACTAGCAAATCTGCATTTCAAAAGGGAGTATTTGAATTTAATTGATTGAATAATGATATTAAACACTGTTTGAATTTGAAAATTAAAAAATCATTTTGTAAACCAAAAAATCATACTAATTTTAATTATACAAAATTCATATTGTATAATAATATGCTGAATAAATCATTAACAAACAAAATACCCATTAACTTAGTTTACCATTACCCACTGCAACTAAAAAGACAAATACCAGAGTAAATTAAATATACTCACATATAAAATATCATCCACTTTTCATCTTCTAAATCTATATAGTTTGCTGCATCTATGAACCAAACTATAAATGTTTCAAATTTCTGGTGGTATTCTTTAAATTTCTCATCTTTCAGATCACATTCTGTGATTTTATAAGTAGCATAAATATCATCATTAGGAAACAGTGCACCTAGAATTTTTTTATTTAAAATGTTTGTAAAAAACTCTTCAATATTTTGAGGAATATAGTTATTGTTAAACACTAATATTTGAAGTCTCAAGTTTTGTTTCAACGTACAGTTTACTTACATGGTTTAGTGTCTTTGAATTTCATCAAAACATTACCAAACATAACATCATGATCTTCATTTTCCAACATCTTTTTGAACTTATCACTGTCTGTTGTAAAGTTTTCTGGTAACCATGGGTTTAAACTAGCTAATACATCATCTGGTTTATACAAAACACTTTTTATTTTCTTTCCATAATGAATATCTGCATAGCAATTTGAAGAATTGTGTAGGTAATGTAGTGTGATTGACAGAGAGCGGTACCCAAATATGCTTTCACTAAAAGTAAAATCAAACAATAGTTTTGATGTGTAATCATCATTTGTTTTATCTATATATACACGTGAACCATTTCTCTTTTAAAAGATAGTGAAAGTTTAGGGACCTTCAGAGTAAATATACATAAACCAAAGATACAGCATCAAACTTCTACAATTAGATTTTAAAATAACCAGGGTTGTTATTGCTATAATTCATGATCTCATGCAGTAAATTAAACTGCAATTGTAATGAACAAATCAAATTTCAATGATTCTGTACCTACCTTTCACCAAAAACTTGATGAGCCATCTTTGGTTTAAATTCTAAAAATGTTTTGCTTTTGTAATCTTCTTCATTATATACTGAAAGTAATAAATGGATTACAATGTATACAAATTTTCATGGTTTAAAGTGTATATACATACCAATTTTAAATGTAACAACAGAGAGGGCATCCTTTTTGTAGGTAGACATTTCACCGTTCTCTTCGACGTTTGCAGACGACGAACCGTTTTCGGTCATCTAAAAACATTATTGTATTGAAAAAATCGCTTCTAAATACTATGGTAAATATAATACCTTGAAAGATGTTCAGCTACAATTTCTCACAAAAACTGCCGAAAAAAATCACAAACACAAATCTCAGGACAATCCGTTAGGTTAAAGGCGCGAACTGTCATGTCACAGCTGTCACTGTTAATGTCATAACTGTCACATGTCAGTGATACCATTATATTTTGCTCGAAAACCTAACAACCGCAAATGTTACTAAGCCGGAAGTTGATAAGGCGCCGGTAATCGATTTACTACAACTTGTAGTTAAAACTCCTTTTGAGCTGGAGTAGCCCTAGCCACAGAATATTACTCACATCAGACAGGCTACCAAAAATTGATACAGCTTGCTAACTCCCAGGATTACTCTATGATATCATTCACTATAATCAAATCCAAGCGGATAACCAAAATTTCCGTATTATGTACCGCGGTTATAATATGGTTCAAGATGACACACGGGATGGTGACGTCAGTTACTCGAATCGCTTGAACGCGTTGGTTTTAACCGCGGTTTTGTTGCAAGTTGTTTATTTTAGAAAAGCGCGTATATAATCTCTGATTATTTTTATTATCACTTAATAATCGGTGCTTTTTCGTCTACAACTGTATATGGAAAGTTTAAATAAGAAACCTTTCATAATATTCATGGGAGACATGTTTTTTTCAGATTTTTTTTTTAATGATGGAACCATGGCTTTGTAGCTATGATAACTTTCAATTCTCTAAATTTTTCCGCATGTCAAAGAAAACATTTATTGATTCAGCAGAAATGATGATAAAAGAAATTAGCAAAACCGTATACAGGTGGATATCATCTAGTGAGTTTATATGGCCATATTTTAATATTCTTGTGGTTTATGGCTACACAGGATACTTTGTTAAGCATAGGAACTACATTTAAAGTGTCCCCAACAACCGTAATGAGTATAACTAATAAGGTGCTCCACATTATGGTAAAACTGAAGTCAGCCTGTATCAATTTTCTCAAAAATGAAGCTGAAGTACAATAACAATATCCAATACCCGGCAAAATTCTAACTTGTCACATTTCAAATAATAACCAGAAATATAAAACTACTCTTGAGTTGGGTAAATACCACAATTTTGCGGTGATAACTATGACATATAACAGCTGATTCGTGACGTCACGGATCTTATAACCAAACTGATAACTACAATCGCTTGAACGGATTGGTAAATACCAAGCCAAAATGGTAAATACCATTTCCATTTGGTTATCCGCTTGAATTTGATTTATAACCATGATATCATTTCATCTAGTCACATTACTGCCAATATGTGGAGGCATAAATAGTTGGGAATAGCTGAGAATGGTGGAAATCTGGCGCTAATTCACAGAAAAGCGTCACTCGTGCTTTGTACCATATCAATGTTCAACCCGACAATATTAATTTCGGTAATTCTCTAGCTTAACTATACCAGCCGTTTTTGACGAAAAAATTATTTCAGACCCCCGTTTTTGGGTGTAAATGGAAGAGATGGGACCTAAAATGACCGCAAACATCAATATTCTGAAATATTTTACTATATAATAGGTTTTTATTGAATGTTTTTCAATGACTGTGCGATGTTGCCAGATTTCATTACTTCATAGGTTTTCGTGTTGATGGATATTCTTAATAATTAAATGACTCGAACTCCACACATCCCTTCATAACGTCTTATGCACTAGCGCGACTGAAAGGGGAACAAACTCTAGATTGAGAGTTGCTACGCCTGGAAATGCGAATTTTCGTCAATTTTCTTATATTTCCGCAATATGGCAACATCGCGGTATGTATAGGATCCGTTCCATGATGCAAATGTCGTGGTTAAGGGCTGTATCGACAGTCGTTCCTACAATTGTAGGACGCCTTTATGGCCTCCTTGATTTTTATAGTCTTTCCTGTCCTTCAGAAAGGCTGGGATATTTCTAGATTTCTACGATTTCGTGTCAACGTCAGCGCTATCCTATTGTCAGGCTATGTTGTCTTCTTGAATTGTAGGAAACAGGCTAAATAATAGATCATATAAATCAAAAACATGAACAATTTGATTCAAATAGATAGTCATGATATAACCTCAAAATCAAGGAGACTCTTTGTCCGACAATTGTAGGAACGACTGACGATACGGCTCTAATAATGTGTTAATACCTTTTAGAACCCAGATGATATCAACAATATTCTGCAACTAACCCATTTGCGGGCATTTGTAATCTCATTTCCGTCATTTACAACTCAAACCTAGTGGCTGTTCGGGCGGAGAAACAAATAAGGCTGGTGTAGCTAAGATAGATAATTATTTTCATTTCATACCCAAATCAGTTTGGGTTCTGTTAGTTAACTTTTCGTGGCTTAGGTTTTGATTCATCGAGAAGAGCAGTTTCAGATTTTCTAATTTCGTCTCCCAAAATATGTTTGGAACATGAATCTTATAGCGATTTATGCAGCATCGACATCAATCAAATCCAAGCGAATAACCAAAATTTCTGTGTTATGTGCCGCGGTTATAATATGGTTCAAGATGACACACGGGTTGATGACGTCAGTTACACGAATCGCTTGAACGCGTTGGTTTTAACCGCGGTTTTGTTGCAAGTTGTTTATTTTAGAAAAGCGCGTATATAATCTCTGATTATTTTTATTATCACTTAATAATCGGTGCTTTTTCGTCTACAACTGTATATGGAAAGTTTTATTTAAACCTTTCATAATATTCATGGGAGACATGTTTTTTTCAGATTTTTTTTTTAATGATGGAACCATGGCTTTGTAGCTATGATAACTTTCAATTCTCTAAACTTTTCCTCATGCCAAAGAAAACATTTATTGATTCAGCAGAAATGACGAAAAAAGAAATTAGCAAAACCGTATACAGGTGGATATCATCTAGTGAGTTTATATGGCCATATTTTAATATTCTTGTGGTATATGGCTACACAGGATACTTTGTTAAGCATAGGAACTACATTTAAAGTGTCTCCAACAACCGTAATGAGTATAACTAATAAGGTGCTCCACTTTATGGTAAAATTGAAGTCAGCCTGTATCATTTTTCTCAAAAATGAAGCTGAACTACAATAACAATATCCAATACCCGGCAAAATTCTAACTTGTCACATTTCAAATAATAACCAGAAATATAAAACTACTCTTGAGTTGGGTAAATACCACAATTTTGCGGTGATAACTATGACATATAACAGCTGATTCGTGACGTCACGGATCTTATAACCAAACTGATAACTACACTCGCTTGAACGGATTGGTAAATACCAACCCAAAATGGTAAATACCATTTCCATTTGGTTATCCGCTTGAATTTGATTATCGTTTTTTCAGCGTGGAAGAACTATCGTAGTAATAATAAATTTTGTTACGCCACTGGCATGCCATCTCTTCCCCCACTCCTCGCCGACTCTAAACTCATCACTTCATCCCCCTTCCATTCTCAAAATCCAATTGACCACGTACCGAGGTAGACGTTGCCAGAGTTTTCTTATCCACCCTGTATAATACGAAATATTTCCGTGAAATGTAAAGTCCAGCATAATATCATTAGTAAACACTGAAAATCCACCTGCAATATGGAAAATGGATGGGTTAATTAATCGGTAATTCATTTCAAATCTGAGAAATACGGTGGTTAACGATCAAAAAACTCGGCTAGTTCCGTGAGTTGTAGAACGTATATATCAACGCGCGCTTGATTTTCACAAACATTTTCCGAGGACGGGACGATGCGGGTCCTCCTGTGTTTGTCAACAGTGCGAAAATTATAGCAGCCGTTTGCAGGCATTTTACGACATGGAAGTGAAATCCGTCGGCACCACAAGGCTTTTCGTTACAACTCCAGTGGAAAATAAAGACGATTTCGACGAGGTAAATCGTTTAATAATGGATTTATTAGCAAACGACGGTGCTTTGTCCGCCATCATGAATCTCGCCTTACTTCTTTTATTTGTATTTTGACGCTGACAGCATGCAAAAGGCGGTATATTCAAATCTCGAATTTGTTTTTCAGAAACTGGAAAGAAGTTACCAATTCCTTCAGAGCACTGTAGCAGGTTTAAGTGATAAAGATGCTCACGAGGCACTCAACAAGGCGCTGCTGAAAGAAAAAGGTTATGAGGATGTGTCTCTGGGTCTGTTGGTTATAATCCTGACGGAGCCCCACAATGCGGCCAAGGCGTATAGGGATCTTACGTTGATTACCCGTGACGGGTTTGGACTCATAGTTAACCATTTATCGCAGTTAGTGCTGGACAGGTATTTAAAATTCAACGATGTGGTCAAGCAACAACTTCTGTGGCTTATCAGGGAGATGATAAAGAATTCTGTTAGCAATGTAGACAATTTAGTATGGAACCTGATGAGACATGCCGCCGGCGGCGATGTATCCCCAAGAAATATTACGCTTATCGAAAGTTTGCTGGACGTTTTTCTAGAATACAAAAGCTGGTTAGAGAAATTTCCACTTTTAATAGCATCTGTTGTGTACACATATTTGAGGTTAATAGAAGATCACAATGCGCCTTATCTAGCCAGTTTGAGACAGAAAGAAGTGAACTTTTTAATAAGCATGTTGCGAGAACACTTCCATGAGTGCTTAGTTATAGGAAGGGACTTGGTACGGCTTTTACAGAATGTAGCACGGATCCCAGAGTTCGAACAACTTTGGAAGGATATTCTACTGTCACCAAAGAGTTTATGCCCTACTTTCACAGGCATCCTACAACTTCTACAAAATAGAACTTCCAGAAGATTCCTCCAGTCTAGGTTAACGCCGGAAATGGAGAGGAAACTTGTCTTCTTAACCTCCCAAGTAAGGTTTGGTAACCACAAAAGATACCAAGACTGGTTTCAGCGGCAGTACTTAGCAACACCTGAATCCCAGAGTCTGAGATGTGATATAATACGCTTTATTGTAGGTGTAATTCATCCCACTAACGAACTGCTTTGTTCAGATATCATTCCTCGCTGGGCGGTGATCGGGTGGCTTCTAACCACTTGTACATCCAGTGTGGCTGTATCAAATGCAAAGCTTGCATTATTTTATGATTGGCTATTTTTTGACAGCGAGAAAGACAACATCATGAACATTGAACCAGCCATTTTAGTCATGCACCATTCAATGAGATCACATCCTGTTGTTTCCGCTACTCTTCTGGATTTTCTTTGTAGAATCATACCTCATTTTTATCCTCCTTTGACGGAAAAAGTGAGGAATGGAATTTTTACATCTCTCAGGCAAATTTTAGACAAACGAGTGTTACCGTCATTGTTACCTCTCTTTGATAACTCGAAATTAGATAGGGAATTGAGGAACATGGTCAGGGAGACTTTCAAGGAGTTTTGCAACTCCACACCTTTGGAATCATCTTCGAAAGATGACTTTAATGCACCTCATACCCCTAAGTATGAAGAAGAGGCTGTGCCGACGTTGAATAATCACATATTGGACAATGAGCCAGCATTCAGTGATGATGAAGAAGAGACAAGTTTGATGATAAATGCTAACCTGGAAGATGATACAGATGATGATGACATTCCATTGTCTAAGGTGAGTAAGAAAGATACATAATTTAAATATTATACAGGGTGTAAACGTTATGATAGTCATTATTTAAATGGGTGACAGCATTCACTGACATTCGGGCTCCATTGATCCACGATATTCTAACCTCTACAGTTTATCCTTTTTTGACAACTACAGTTTTTTTGTGAAAAAATGGAAGAAGAAAAGATTGGAGTTACGCGTCAGGCGTGAAATTTAATGTTTTTTTAACACAATTTGAAATAAACCGAGCATTTGAATGCAAGTGATTTTATTTTGAATTATGCATATCTGAAAATTTGTTCTATCTCTCCACTGGACAACTTCTTCATCTGAATCACTTAAGAAGATCGGTTCCTTAAATGGTTATTCAATATCAGTTTTTCCTCTATATGCAATCTCTGCAAATGATATAATAAACCAATTTGTTTGTTTATTTATTTTATCCAGTTAGATACAAATGTACACATTTGCATGTGAAAAGTAAAATAAATAGGTATAAATGATGAATATATATATAAAATATAAATATAATAAATTGTACAAAAGTATAACTTTCAAGAAATATGTTGCAAATAAACACAGACAACACACAGGAAAAACATATAAAAGAGGAAAAAGGGTGGTAAAGCTATACAGGCTTTGTGTAGAAAAGTTTTTTTATGAAAATATGTCCTCAATGGCTTATATTTTTTACTTTGAACCCTTTTTGTGAAAAACAATTTTTTACAGTTTCACATCTTTTTGTCTTAGTACTATGCAGTGTATGATATGTGCTTATAATTCAGAGCATCCTTTTGTGTGAGAAGAAAAAAAAAAACAGTGTATAAGACAGTATTCTATTCTAGAGTATTACCACCAAAAATGCAACTTTGAAGTTCTATAAAATAGCAAGCAGACAGAAAAAATGCTTTTGTAGACGTTACATCCCAATCTTTCATTTTAAAGTAAGATTTTATACATAATCTTCTAAAGTACTTTAAATATTATATATTATATTTTTAATTTTGGGATGTTAGGGTTTTGAAGTATTTAAGTGAGAAATGTTTTTATTCCATAAATCAATGTTCAAGTTTTCCTAATCAGTAAGCAATATGTTTTTATTTTAACTTTTTTTCAAGTGTCTTAACAAGACGGTATTTTACTCAAGTTTTGACTTGAACTGCTATTGTAACAAAAACGCTAGTTAGCTATATATTCTAGACATAATGAACGTGTATTTTTTATCATGTTATTGTGTTTAGTGTGGTGCAACAAACACTATTAACTCATTTGGAATTATATTCACATTTATTGTGATATTTTAGCTATGGTACTTTTCTTTTGACAGTTTATGTTTGAAATTTGGCTAAATATACTACGAACCTCAGCATTCATAATACCTTCCGCAAAGTGTAAGTTTCGCATTAGACTTGCTGACTTGGACCCCCAAGTCATAGCAGAAGCCGGAAACTTGACACGACTCGTTCTATAACCTATGCATACTTCAAATCTGGCTTCATCACTCCAAATAATGGAGACCATACGTTGTGTTCTTTGACCCACGATAGTCTGTTTTTCTTCTGAATCTTTGACAGTAAGGACTTTTCTTTTGCCTAGAAATACTGAATTAAAAACGCACAATAAAAAATAATGTAAGCCTACCTTACAAGTTTTAAATCTCAGTTTTTGGGCAACTCTGTGACAAGTTGCTCTTGAAAACGTTTTTGTGGTTGCTTGTGGACGCTTTTCCACGATAATTCGTTTTAAGGTTCTTAAGTATTGGAATAACGCGGGCGACTTCCAGTTCTGGGGTTTTGAGCCACAGATTCGGTTATTTTGTACAATCTAATAGTATTTCCAACTGTATACCTCGATTTGTTAACACTGTCAGTGATTTGGGGAGCATTTTGCACAATCCATTTTTAACAACAACCAGTGCCTACCTTTCTTTTATCGAAGAAAATAAACAGACCATTCAACTTAAGTTGTCTCCCTCATGTATTTTGCTATACACAAATCATTTTGCAAAGAAGACAATATCGAAATAGAAACGCTTCAAAAATAGCTGTGACGGTTTTTTAATTTTAATAAATCACAAATATATTTTGGGGCGTTGGGCCGACTTCACTGAGTCAGGGCTCGTACTTACTGCATATCATGCGAAAAGTTAATAAAAATCTTTGCGTATTCACTCTACATGCAGCCATTCATTAATTTTCTTATTTATTCTTAGGTGCGGTTAAAAGAGAAAAGCGACAAATCCGACGACAGCTTCATAGAAGGACCGGTAGGAGAGCTCCTGCAGAAGCTGCAACAAGAGACTGATCCCGAGGAGCGGTGCGATCTTATGGAGAAAATGATTGACCAACTAGTCGAGCTGGACGATGATGACGACCTCCTTCCAGCGATAGCGAAAACTTTCGTTAACTGCGTCAAGGACGACGTGAAAGGTGAAATTTTCCCCGACGTGATGACTCAGGAAAATCTCATGGACAGTATTAGATCACCATTGTTTGTTCTGTTCAAAACTCTTTACAATTTCAACAAAGACGAACCCGGCAAAGACGTATTGTATCAGCTCATCGCTGAGATGCACAACGATTTGCCCAGTCTAGGTTATCTAATACTGTACTTTCTGAAAGTGCAAATAAGGACAGAGAACAAAAAAGAGGATCACACGAAAGCGAGTGCGCTAAAGATCAGTGTGTACAAAGAGTTTTGTCAGAGCATCGACAAGAAGATCGACCTGTGCATCTATGATGACCTGTACGGGTGTCATATGACTGATACCAAGCTGATGATGTGGATCGTTCCTGACATCTATAGGGACTTCAAGCAACAGACGCTCAACAATGCTCAAGTGCTCAGGGTGATTCTCTCGGCGATCGACTCCAGGCAGTTGCAGACGCTAGTTGATAAGGTAAATATTTTGTGCAGATTCGCACTCCCAATTTATTGATGATTAAATTAGTTCTACAATGTCAAGCTCAAACATTAGTTCTGTTGGTAACAAATTAGGTCCGTGACTATTTATTTTATTCATTAATGACATTTGTGATGTTTTATGATTATTGTAAAATTCGGATATTTGCAGATGATACTTATCAGATGAAAATATAGACACTGCTAAATTCTTACTTGTGCAAAAATCATAAATAGGGATGAATGGTGAAATAATTGGAAAAGTTGGGTTAATTGAATTTTCCAGTGAACTTGCATACTGCTGGTACCACATGTCTCTGTAAATAAAAAAATTGGTAAATGATTTTGTAAAAGGTCTAAATAAATTTCGCCGCAGCTGAAAGGGTACAATGATTCTCCCATTTAGAATCCCGATCCACATGTTTAACGGCAGACGAGGCCCCATCTAGTGGCCGCCGAGATCTCGGGACCTAAGACCTGTAGATTACTTTCTTTTTTGGCAAAAGTAAAGTTTTTAGTACGGATCCAGACTCCACTCAATATCTTCGTCAGCGGAGTACGGCTGAATGTAGGCAAACAGTGGCACAGTGGCGGCTCGTGGCAAAATAAAACAGGTGTTCTGCAAATCTGAACTTACCTATTTTTTATGTCAGTTCGATCCCGCGCTCCTTCTTGGCAGCAAATTTGTCGATCACCATCCCGTTGAAATTTTCCACGGTCGAAATAAATTCCTTTTCAATGGACAACGCTGTGAGGCGATCCTGGGTCATAGTATTTCAAAGTAAGGTCTTGATTATTTTCAGTGTTGAGAAATTTCGCTCAGCCTCTGATGTTGACATAGGAGTTGTAACAATAATTTCTAATAGCTTTTTTGTTTCTTTGAGTGTTTCCTCCAAACTATTTTGTATCAAAAATTTCAAAAGAGATAGAGTTCCATGTAAATCTCGGCAATCATTCCGTGCATGAATAACAGATAACTCTGTCTTTAAACGACTTTTTTCTAATTCGGGATAAGCCAAGCAGGTAGTTTCCAACTTGTCATCAGGAAACTTACCACAGTATTCTTCAAAGTGTTCGGGGGTGTTGCAGAATTCACTATATTGTCGCATACTTCTAATGCGTCAACTCGGTTATCGTGACTGTTATTATTACGTCGTCTCCTTTTGTTGCATTGGGGTTCAGTGCAAATACTTTTGGCTTCATTTATTATGTCATAAATTTTATTTCTCGCATCGATAATACATTTTTCAAAATTATCGATAGCCGTTTTAACTTGCGCTCGCTCGATTTTTTCTCTTCTGCAACTGGTTGAACAAGATGTCGACGTGAGGCGTGACATGACGAAAAAATGTCAACCAAAACACGAAAACAGAATCGTTTAACATACGGCGAATACCGCAAACTGCCTTGGAAACGGTTTCATTAGTGAAATTTTCTTCTATATCTTCCATGCATTCAATGAGTGATTCTCTGTTCTCAAACACTACATTTATTGTTCGATAATAAAATTCCAACGAGTTGTTGTTCCTTGGGGAATTTGTTCCCCACAACTCTGTTCAGTACCTCTACGCGTTGAGGAGAATTATTAAAAAATCCAGGAATATCTTTAAAATCCCCAAAGAACACCCGAACTTGAGCATTTGCGGAAGCAGCTTGGGACATAATCAGGTTTAACTGATGCGCATAGCAATGCACATAGTGAGCAAATGGATATCTTTGTTAAATTTTTGCCTGTACTCCAGCATTATGTCCGCTCATTACCGCGGCTGCATCGTAGCTTTTTGAAATCAGTTTGTTAGGGAAATTTCCTATTAATGGATCTACGACGCTCAAAATACGTCTTGTGAAAGTATCAGCGTCACATTTTTTGGGATCCATATAATTCCAAAAACGTTCTACTGGTTCGCCGTCAAATACGTATCTGAAAATTGTTACCAGTTGGGTTTTCCCCCGAAATGTCCGTTGTTTTATCTGCTATTATCGCCAAATACGAGGCTCTGTTAATCTGTTTTATTATTTTTTCATGACAAACTTCATGAATACAATCCAGTAGATCGTTTTGTATTTCTTTCCAAGTTCCTTTAAATATTGAAGCATTTTTTAGGTGTTCGCTTAAGGTTGTATCAAGCTCAGCAGAAAAATTAATCAGTCCACGAAACATTCCCGGGTTTTTGGAGCTCTCGGTTTCGTCGTGGCCCCGTAGCGCCAATTCAAATGCTCCGCAAAATTTTATACAATCGATTATTTTTGATAGAACGTACCTGTTTTTTGTAACGGTATCATTATGCTGTTGTATATTTCTCCAATATGCTGAATCTAACTGAGCTCTGATGTTAACATTCCCCAATAAAGCCAATTCCATCGAATTATGAAGATGTGTCTTAGAGTTTTCATACTTCTTAATTTTTTCACTCAGGTGCACTAAGTCTGTAACACCTACCTCCGTCCAAGCTTTGTCACCACCTAAAAATATGCAAAGAAAGCAGAAAAGGACATTCTTCCTGTTGCACCCACAAATCCAGTCATTTCTGTTGTAAATATCCCTGCTGAAATGCCGCGTATAACCCTTGCCCCGGCTAACGCCCTGTGTTTCTATAAATATGTCCGGCAGCGGTCGACCTGACACCTTCAGCCCAATTTTTTCTTCAAATGTGTATTTCCAGAATCGTTTCACGCTGATAAGTCTGTAAACCACATCCATTGTCTTGCACTACCCTTCTACACAGCCACAGTCAGTCAGTGAGTCACTAGTCACTCAACGTAAGATTCAAAATACTTAAATAAAATTTTTTTCGCATTCAAATGTTAAGCCACGTCACGCGAGAAGACCAATATGCCAATACCGCCGAGGACCGAGTACCGACCGACCAATATCGACCGATATCGTACTTTGCATTAGATATGTATAAATTGCAACACATGCTTATGCTTAAATCGCGCATTTGATTTTGTAGAGACAAAAGCAGGCGCGTGCGGCTTGTGTCGAAGTAGCGCACAGACCCTTTTCAAGTGACCCATGAATAATGCTACGTGTGCGACTTGGCTGGGTACTTTCCTCTAAAAATGTTTATTCTCGAAGGTTCTGCAAGGGCACCTGGTGATGTTCAAGGCAGAAAGCCTGACCAGCCTGTTGAAAACCAGCCTGACGTGGGAGAGCATCGAGCAGTTCTTCCTGTGGCAGCTGGTGAACGCGCACGACATCTCCATCGACACGGTACTACCCCTAGTCACCGAGCTGGATTACGAGCAACACCCCGAGGCACTCATGGCGATCACGCTGATGTTGAAGCAGGAGAAACCGAACGCGGACTACGTCAAGTGCCTATTCTCCAGGGATATTTGCGAGAATGGGGACTTGTTCGTATTTACCATGATCAAGTATTGGTGTGACGAGTATATCGATAAAGTGGCCGAGCTTATTTCGTCGCTACTTAGTACTAGGTAGGATATGGCTATTCGTGTCTGTATTTATTATATGACCACAAGTAGAGACAGTTGAAAGTAGACATAGAAATTAAGGTGAATGTGTTTCCTGTGAGGATGGCTGAAATTATAACATTGTTTTTGAGTTTTGCTATAATTGCATTGCCAGTCAACTTGCATGCTTGGGAAATTTGTTTATTTTATTACTAAACTTGATATTATTTTTTTTTTTGAAATTAGCATTTTAAATTAATCTAAATTTTACGAAATTATATTATATTAGAAAACGTATATGTATATTTGCCCTATCTCTCTGCCACATTTCAAACAATGCTCAATATAAATTTCTATAAACTGTATTGAGGATATAATTTCTGAAACTCTTTGTTAATAACAATTATGTTAAGATAACATTGAAGACAAAACATACTTCTACTTTTAGGCTGGCTAAATTTGAAATATTCTAAATTCTCTACAAAAGCTTAAAAAGTGTAAACTCCCACTTTACCCCCGTATTTACAAGTTTCTTTGTGAGTGCCCATCTGCTCCATATCAAAGAACCAAGCACATCAAACCCATATGTGTATACCTAGCTTTGAAAAATAATATTTTCCCTAGAATAGGTTTTACTCCTTATATCAACGCCTTCAAGTCTGATTTTCATAACAAAAGGTCCGTTTCCAAGGTCTAATCTGTATATATGTTAAAAATCATCAAAATCGGCTCAGCTGTTTTGGCGCGAAAACGGACCATAAACGCATACACACTTTTACATTTATACTAACGGGTGATTTTTTAAGAGGTATAGGATTTGATTTAAAAAAAAAACACAAAAAATTTGAAAAAACGATTAAATCTTTATTTGAGTCGATAGAACGGTCGATATATTTTAATGTTTAAAGATTATTTCAAGTTAATGTTGGCCGCGGCTCCGCTTTAGATGGCCCATGCGCAAGGTCCAATTTTGGCACACTCTCTCCAACATATCGGCAGGTATCTCATGAATAAATGCCTCAATATTGGCTTCCAGTGCGTCAATCGTTGCTGGTTTAACCCTGTAGACATTAGCCTTAACATGGCCCCACAAGAAATAGTCCAACGGCGGTAAATCACACGATCTAGGCGGCCAATTGACGGGCCCCAAACGTAGTGCTCGCCATTCACAGTTACGTTCCGGCCATTGTCGTCTTTGAAGAAGTACGGCCCGATGATGTCACAGGCCCATAATCCACACCAAAGAGTGATTTTTTCGGGATACATTGGTAGCTCTTGCAATGTTTCTGGCTCGTCTTCACTCCAGATGCGGTAATTTTGCGTGTTAACGTACCCATTCAACCAGAAATGAGCTTCATCGCTGAACACAATTTTTCGATAAAAATGTGGATCTTCCTCCAACTTTGCCAGCACCCATTCACCAAATGGGAAACGTGTGGCTTCAATTCTTGCACCAGCTGTATCTTATAAGGTTTTTCACCCAAATCCTGTCGCAAAATTTTCCACGTAGTGGAGTAACGAGGCCCAATTGCTGCGAACGGCGGCGAATCGACATTTCACGGTCATCACTAACACTGGCGGATACAGCCGCAATATTTTCTTCACTCCTCACTCTACGTCTGCGTGTTGGTGGTTTAATGTCCAATAATGTAAACTGGGTTCGAAATTTAGTCACAAGCTTCCGAATAGCTCCCTCAGTAGGTCGACCAAATTGGCCATAAATTGGAAGCAGTGCTCGATGCACTCTCTTAACCGAGCATGAATTTTGATAGTAAAATTCAATAATTTGCAAGCTTTGTTCGTTCGTAAGTCGATTCATGGTTAAATTATAGACCAAACTGAACAAGTTTGACAATGACACAAGACGCGATTCACGCGTCATCTGTCAAAAACAGTGTTGCCAAAAAGATACTAGCAAAAAAATCACCCATTATTAGTAGCAGATTATATTGTCTCTATTTGTGTAAAATTGTTTGTAAATATCATATTTCTTGATCTTTTCATTGTGTATCTAGGTATCCTTCAACGTCACCGAACAAACGGAAAAGACCGGCAGGTGGAAGTAAGACTCTTAGTACTACAGTGCCAAGTGCTGACCAAGTCCTTGGGCACTTAGAAAAGCTTCGAATAATTTGTGAGAAGCACGACTGTATGGCCATCTATACGCTTGACTCGATGCAGCGGGCGCTTAATATCGCACAGAACAATAGGTAAGTTTTTACCGTCAAGCAAATATTTAGCAAACGAAATTGTTAGTTTATTTTCCTTGTCTTGATCACATATGTATACACAGAATCCAGATGATACAAAACATATGCTGTCGCTTTATTAATGGACTATCTATATCTGAAAAAAAAATAAGGAAGTGGTTAGAAATTCCAGTAGCATTTCAACATGATATCACGATTTTTGTGTTGTAATGTACGATTTAGTTTGAAAATTGTAAATTGCTCTTTTTTGTTAGTACGGACAGCCAGCGGAAGCAGTTCAGCGAATTGTTCGCCCTGATGGAGGAAGAAGAGGAGGTGAGCAGTTCGACCAAACAGCGTACTCAAGGTAGAGGGAGGAAACCGGCGGCCGCGAACAAGGCCGCTGCGGCTGCAGCGGCTGCTCAAGCTGCTGCACAAGCTGCCAGTGCGACCACCAAGAGGCAGGCGGCGGCCAAGGACAGGGATAGGGAAGTCGTATCGGATACCTCAGAGGACAGTAGTGAGGTAGGAACTATATTATTTTCATCAATCCGCCAGTCGCTAATAGACGCATCTCTTGTTCTAATTGGAAATCCTATATCGGCACACATGTCACCCTAGGCCTTAGTTGCTTAATAGCCATTCTTACCTGTTAATGTTCTGTAATAGATCTGGACAAGTCCTGAACAAGTCATTCCGAAGGAACGACGCCGCAGTTGGAATGGAAGAAGTCGATTCCGATGGCCCTGCAAGAATCGATTTCGGAGGTTTCGACTCCCGATTCCGCTGTTTCGAATGCGAATCCTGTGACTTCGATTCCGGTAGTTTCGATTCCGATGCCGGCGGTTTCGACTCCGATTCCGGCGGTTTCGATTCCGATGCCGGTAGTTTCGACTCCGATTCCGGTGGATCCGCTTCCGTTGTTTCGGCTCCGATTTAGGTTCCGGCGGTTTACACTCCGGTTTCTATGGTTAACATCCCGTTGTTTATATTCCGATTCCGGTGGGTTTGATTCCGATGCCGGCAGTTTCGACTCCGATTCCGGAGGATCCGATTCCGTTGTTTCGGCTCCGATTTCGGTTCCGGCGGTTTCTACTCCGATTCCAGTGGTTAAGATCCCGTTGTTTCCATTCCGATTCATGTCATTTCGCTTCCGATTCCGGTGGTTTCGATTCCGATACCGGTAGTTTCGACTCCGATTCCGGTGGATCCGATTCCGTTGTATCGGATCCGATTTCGGTTCCGGCGGTTTATACTCCGGTTTCTGTGGTTAAGATCCCGTTGTTTCTATTCCGATTCCGGTGGTTTTGATTCCGATGCCGGTAGTTTCGATTCAGATTCCGGTGGATCCGATTCCGTTGTTTCGGCTCCGATTTCGGTTCCGGCGGTTTATATTCCGATTTCTGTGGTTAAGATCCCGTTGTTTCGATTCCGATTCATGTGATTTCGCTTCCGATTCCGGCGGTTTCGATTCCGATGCCGGCAGTGTCGACTCCGATTCCGGTGGATCCGATTGCGTTGTTTCGGCTCCGATTTAGGTTCCGGCAGTTTATACTCCGGTTTCTGTGGTTAAGATTCCGTTGTTTCGATTCCGATTCCATTGTTTTCGATTCCGATGCCGGTAGTTTCGACTCCGATTCCTGTTTATCCGATTCCGTCGTTTCGGTTCCGGCGGTTTCTACTTCGATTTCTGTGGTTAAGATCCCGTTGTTTCGATTCCGATTCGTGTGATTTAGCTTCCGTTTCCGGCGGTTTCGATTCCGATGCCGGCAGTGTCGACTCCGATTCCGGTGGATCAGATTCCGTTGTTTCGGCTCCGATTTCGTTTCCGGCAGTTTCTAATCCGATTTTTGTGGTTAAGATCCCGTTGTTTCGATTCCGATTCATATCATTTCGCGTCCGATTCCGACGGTTTCGATTCCCATACCGGCAGTTTCGACTCCGGTTCCGGTGGTTCCGATGCCTGTGAATTCGATTCCGATTTCAGCGGTATCGACTCGGATTTTGATTGTTGTGATTCCGTTTCCGGTAGTTTCGATTACGAGTACAACGGATTTGACTCCAGGTTCTATGATAAAGATTTCGATTTTTAAAAACGGGTCGAATCGCATTTGGACGAACTGCTTGAAAGGAACGATACTGCTCGGATTAAAATATTCCAAGTTTGGAATCGAAGGAATTGATTGCAAGGCTGGAATCGGAATTGTGAACGAATCGAAGAAATCGATTTTAAGGCTGGAATCGGAATTGCTAACAAATCAGATGAATCGATTTCAAGGCCGGAATCGGAATTGTGAACAAATCGAGCGATCGACTGCAAGGCCGGAATCGTGAACGAATCAAAGGAATCCAGTCGACGTCGGTATCGGAATCGTGAACGGATCGAAGGAGTCGATCCCAAGCCCGGAATCGTAATTGTAAACCAGTCAAATAAATCGATCTCGAGGTTGGAATCGAATTCGCGAACGGATCGATTCGAAAGGCGGAATCGGAATCATGAAAGAATCGAGGGGATCGATTGCAAGGCCGGGAATCGTGAACGCATCGTGAAGGAATTGATTCTATAGTTCGAAAAGTGATATAAGCTTTTCCAAATACGATGTCAGTCTTAGTTTTCATTTTTTTGCAGGAGGAGGAAATCGTGAAACCAAAGCAAGCGAAGAAACGGAAAAAAGTGATGTCGGACAGCGATTGACGGACGAACCGGATGTCAATGACCAACAGCAGCAAGCTAAGCAGCAGTGACTTTCACGAAGATGAAGTAGAAAAAGAAGCAGGAAGTGAAGATGGAAAAATGGTGGCACAGCAGCATATCAGCATCAGAGCATGGCTGTTTAGACAGGCACAAGATAGAACGAAAGGATAATCTGGAGTTGGACGCGATGTTGAACAGATTGAGAAAAGGAGAAATCAAAATGAGATATGTTCCTCTGTAGGTCGACGCAACGTAATCGTAATGCGTTTTTTCATTCATAAAAAAAGTGGGGGAAAACTAATATAGTGCAATTTTCTAGTCGTCATATTGGAGATGAAAGGAATTGGGGCCAGTTTCAGGAGCATTGTAATTGGATGTTTTAAATTGATGCAGCAGAGATCGTCTTGCTAATTCGTGATTTACAGTAAGTGGTAGGGATGCACACGGTTTGTACCCGGTACTCGGCAAGAATTAATTTACCCGGACTTGTAAAAAGAATTATGCATGTGATTCAAGTATCGGTTATTTATTTTTATTTACAGTCTATATTATTAAAACAGATAGTCATCTTCAATTTTATTTTATGCTTATGCGCTATAAAATTACGAGTATTAATTAATACAGAATGGGGAAAATACACGGCAAATACAACATTTCTATTCAGGGCGTCACAAAAGTATGGACACATCCAAATATCTCGGAAACTAAGGGTGTTAGAAAAACTAGCGATGACCTTGAATTTGACGTTGATTTCACATTCAAGGTCGTTTCATTGCAAAAAAAAAGAAAGACAAAAAATACCTTTTTAACAGTGTAAATATCATTACCTACGCTAAAATTACACCTAGAGGTTATTTCAAGGTCAATTGTTGATCTTTCGTGGACTGTTGCGAAGCAGTGGATAGCTGGAAAAGAGGAATATTAAAGCACGACTTTCAAAGCGAAACATGCTGGACATCCAACTGCAAATCATTCTAAACTTTGCTATGACCTTGGAGGTCAATTCCGGGTCAGATTGATTTGTTCATATGGAAATCTGCAATTTTGATCCCGGCGCTGAACATGGAGAAAAATCTCAGGTTCAAAGGTTCAATTAACGGAGGTAAGTCACATCAATTTTCAGCGCTGGGATCACAATTGAGGGTTTTCATGTGAGATCAATTGAACCTTGAAATTACCTTCAAGCTCAGGATGTAGGTCACCCTCAATTTTCGCATTAAAAGTTATCAACAGTCCATGAAAGAGCAAAAGTTGACCTTAAAATAACCTCTAGATACAATTTTATGGTCTATCTTATTTATACCGTTGAAAAGGAATTTTTTTCTGGCTTTCTATTTTTGCAATAAAAAATTCAAGCCATTTGGTTTCCTAAAAAATTTTGAATTCAAAGTTTTTTCTATCCCCTCTAGTTTCCGATATATTTGGGTGTGTTCATATTTTTGGGACATTCTGTATGTTCGAGGCATTTATTGCATACAAAAATTTATCATCATCATCACGTAATCATCTAATTCTGGTACTGCACATCGAGAAAATCGTAGAAAAGCTTCACATCACATTTAATCATACGATATCAAAGGGTAGTTATACAGGGTGTCCCATTTTAATCTCGCCATCATCCTAGAAAAAAGTTTTAAACACAAGTTATCCGGTTTCGAGGGGGCAAGATTACGGTGACATTGATCCCGACCTTCAAGGTCATTTTTTTTTTTTTTTTTTTTTTTTTTATATCGAAACAGCCGCGCAGGCGGAAGCCTAAATGCCGGAACACCGCGGCTGCTATGATGATCCCAAAGAAATTTTGTTAATACGATTTTTGAACTGCCTAAGGTTAATAGAACTGGGAAAAGCTTCCTCCCGTAGTTTGTTCCACAATCTAGACACCCTCGGGACAAAGGAGCGGTCGTATCGGCCAGTTCTGGATGTACGAAGTTTGACACGGTTAGGATGGGACGCCGAAGTCAGGCGGGTCTGTCTGGCAGGCACATCGCGCGGCGGCATCATGGAAGAGAGCTCTGAGGAGCAAAGCCCGTTGGTGTAGCGATAGAAAAGAGCTAGATCGCCGACGGCCCGCCGGTGCGAAAGAGTCCCGAGACTGTCTGTTAGAGAAGAGTCATCGATCAGTCGGACCGCCCTCCTCTGGACAGCATCGAGCATGGACAATGTAGTCGGGGCGGCAGCACCCCAAATGTGTGAGCAATACTCGAGGCTAGGCCTTATCTGGGCCTTGTATAGAGTGAGAAGGTCATGCGGAGAAAAGTACTTCTTAGCCCTAAACAAATAGCCTAGCTTTTTCCCAGCAGCTGCAGCTATTGAAGAGATGTGTTCGTGCCAGATCAGGTCCTCGGTGATCTGGACTCCGACCAGCCGAAATGAATGGCTCTTTGGTAGGACTCGACCGTCCATCGAAACTGTATGAGCGCTAGGACGCTTGTTGTTCGTCAAAGTACAGTACTGTGTTTTGGAAGCATTGAACTGTACAAGATTGTTGCGTCCCCAAGCAGTGATAGCCTCCAGGTCTCTTGTCAGAGAAGAAGTCGTCGCTAGTCTTCTTTTTTCCAGCTCAGCGGCAGAGATCGGCTTGTCACTCTGAATTCCTGCATGTAGAGTGCTGTCATCAGCGAAGCTGTGGATTGGGTTGATCGTGCAGGAAAGGAGGTCGTTGATATGTAAGAGAAACAGTGTTGGAGCCAAGACCGATCCGTGGGGAACACCCGCGTTGACGTTGTGGGATGAAGAGGAGAATCCGTCAATTACGACGGATATCTTGCGGCCAGAGATAAAGTCAGCCACCCATCTGCAAAGCTTTTCCGGGAGGCCGTAGGATGGAAGTTTGCTTAAGAGGGCAGCGTGCCACAGCTGATCGAACGCTTTCGTGATGTCAAGAGCAACGACATGAGCCTCACCATGAGACTGGATGAGTTTACTCCACAGTTGCGTGACGTAAGCTAGGAGGTCCCCTGTGGATCGTTGGTGCCGGAAACCGTACTGCCTGTCGCTAATCAAGCTGTGACGTTCGAGGTAGTCCAGAAGCTCGCGATTTATGCACCTCTCCATCACTTTACTTATAACAGAAAGCAGAGCTATAGGCCTGTAGTTGTAAGGGTCGGTTTTAGATCCTTTTTTTGGGATGGGCTGTACATGAGCAAATTTCCAGTTTTCTGGGAAGGTGCCGGATTCATAAGATATCTGGAAGAGACGCGAAAGAACTGGAGCAAGCTCAGCTGCACATCTCTTCAGTACAATGGCAGGAATCAAGTCCGGACCAGAAGCTTTGTTGATGTCGAGCGACAAGAGCACTCGTGTTACGGTCTTATGCCTGAATGTTACCTCCCGCATACTTTGGGGAACCCTTTGAATTGACGGCACTTGGGCGTTGGTGGGGACGTCCATGGTGGAGTTGGCAGCAAAGATCTTGGCTAGCACTTCAGCCTTGGCCTTTGAGTCGAATACAATAGTTCCATCCTGACACGTAAGTGGTTACTGTGTGAGAAGTTCTTTTCAATCTGCTTGGCCAGCGTCCAGAAAGACCGACTGCCATTGCGCTGCGACATTACCCTGTGCCTAACTTTTATATCATGCTGGGTTTTGGCATTGCGAACCGCTTCGTTATATTTGTTTCTGGACTCGACGTCGGCTTGTCTGTTCTCTACAGTGGGGTTTTGTAAGTAGGTTCTGTGGGCCTTGATCTTCTGCTGGCGAGCAGTGTCACACGATTTGTTGAACCAGCCGTTGGACCCTGGTTTAGGAACTTTCACTGTGTGAGGGATGTATTCCTCCATTCCGACGTGGATAATTTCGGTTATTGAAGAACAGACAGTCGACGCATCCGCGTCAGTGAAACAGACATCTCTCCAAGGAAAGCTAGAGAAGAAGTCTCTGAGCCCCTCCCAGTCGGCATGTCCGTAATGCCAAGTTTTGCGGCGTGTGCGAGTTTCTGCGGCCACAGCGGCTTCTGACCGAAACCTAACCTCCACAACACCGTGATCTGAGTTACCCAGGGGGGACAGGACGGCAGTGCTGTAAGGGGCAGGATGCGTGGTCAGAAAGAGATCCAGTAGGCTACTGGCATGTGACGAGACGTGGGGGAAAAAAGTAGGGCTCGTCACCAGCTGGGTCAGCCCTTGAGTAAGAGCGAACGCTTCGACTGCACGACCTGCTGCATCGGTCTTATTTGAGCCCAACCAAAGCTCATTATGGGCATTGAAATCACCGAGAAGAACGTCGAGCGAATATTTCCAAATGGAACTCCCCTTTTTTTTATAACGGAATTGGAAAAAGGGAGTAATTTTACGTCCGTCTGTGACTTTCACTACAATCATCACCATGACCTTCAAGGTCAAATCAAGACAATTTTCCTTGGCAAAAATGTAAGTCATTATCCTCGTTAACCAGCTTCAACACTTTATCCGTCGTTGGTGATTCATTACGAAAGAAAAAATCGTGTACAATTCTTTTTATGGCGGTTGTCATCTATGGCATCGCTGTTTTTTTTTCTTGGCGGATTCTTATTCCTGTCGACCAGTGAATGGTTAGATCTGTACTCCCGAACAATTCGGTAAACACTTGCACGACTAACTCCCGAAATACTTGCAACTTTGCAAACAATATCCTGAACACTTGAGTCACTCGTTCCTTGCATTTCGTGTTTATAAATGTTGAGAATTATTTGTTTTTCGCAAACGCTAAAATGAAGCCTTTTAGCCCTTTTATCAGGCGGCTTGCAGCTAATATCAACAACTTCATCAGCTGTATCTGTATCAGACATTTTGAGTTCTACGAAATTAAACTGACATCTAATAAGTACACAGTAATACCAGTATAAATCTGATGCCATTTCTGTACTGTATAAATATATATAGCATTAACGGCCGGTTTGCCATTGGTTCTGTGTAAGGGCTCGACCTATTCTGTCCAATAACAGTTATGCTCCTTCTGTGTTCAAATCAGTGTGCTGATCACGCGATGAGCACTGTTTTGGTTTAGTCTCTTTCTTCGATACATACATAATACATAGAATTCATTTTTTTGGCTTATTTTTGGTTTTAGCTCTTTTTCGGTAAAAAATCAAAAACTATCTGAAATGTTTTGAAAAATCGTGGAAAATGACGTCTTTGGTATTTAGGTAAATGTCTCATTTCAGTAGAAACACCGTAGAATGGGTAGGTTCGGCAACATTGGGTACGACGCGCATCGGCTTGCCGCCAGTTGGCCAGTTGTTGTTCAGTTGCTTTTTGGAACGCGGGCGTCGGGTGGCGCGTCTCTCGCTCTGTCGCGTAGTTCTGTTTCTCGAAAAAAAAAGGACAATTCTTATTGTGCTTATTAAATGTGGTGTAGTGCTTTTTGATTGTGTTGTGCAGTGCCAGTTCACATGGATTACGACGACAGATAAAATTTTGAGCACATTTGAAGGTAGTACGAAACTCGAGGTTTGGCAACTTTACAATTCACCTCTTCTAATTATATGGAGGCAAGTCATAACTTAATACAAATATCAATAATTTTCTATAAAAAGGAAGTTTTTTTAAAATGCTAGTCACAGAAATCTGCATCTATGAGGAATTCCAGAAACGGCGCATTCTGTATTCTGATCATTGTTTATCATGAATCGTTTTAAATTTCTCTGTCAAATGTGATTTTGGAATTTATTTAGGTAAATAATTTTGAACGAATACGATTCGGACGAAAACGCATCTATTGGGCGACTTTGAAAATGGCGGTGGGTAATGTTGACATTTTTTTTGTGGACAACTTAAAAACAAAACATTATGCAAAAAATATCTGGCAACCTTTACGTTTCAATATTGGCTCTAAGCTCCTCTAACGCCGGCTTGTTGGCATAGACCAATAATTTAATGTAGCCCCACAAAGAAGTCTAGAGGTGTTAAATCACACTATGTAGGTGGCCATTCGACAGGACCGGTGTGGCTTGTGTTGAAACCACATATCATTAATGTCTAGCCCATCCAATTGATCAAAAAATAACGTTGTAACATTTCTCTGTAGCGATCTCTGTTGACTGTGACAAGACGGTCTTTTTCATCAAAGAAAAAAAAAAACGGCCCACTGTCACCACCGGCATGAAAACTACAGGATACAGTTATTTTTTGTGGATGAAGTGGTGTTTCTTGAAGCTCACGAGGGTTTACACCTGACCAATAACGCATATTCTGTTTGGTGACGAAGCCGTTTATCCAAAAATGCGCTCATCACTGAAGATGATTTGGCGATGAAATTCGTCATTTTCTTGCAACATTTCTAGAGCCCAATTCGAGAACGTACGTCGGTTCATATGATCGAACGGTTTTAGTTTTTGAGTTAACTTGATCTTATAAGGGTGCAGGCCAAGATCTCTTCGCAAAATTCGTCACTGAGCGATGCCCAATGGCACCAGAACATCCAGCAGCGAATATGTGGACGCAATTTTTTTTACTAGACTATGCATTGCTTATCTACTGGGACGAGAAGTACGACCAAAAATTGGCGTTAACGCTCTTCATGTTGCAGTCGCCGACTCGGAATTTCGGTAGTAAATTTTAATCATTTGTAAGCGTTGTTCGTTCGTGTACTTACACCATGATGAAAATGTTTTCTTTACTGAATGTTTTAACATTGACGGTTCGGTAATTGATTAAAAGGTGCGTTCACAGTGAAAATTTGAGGTTGTCAAGTCCTTATTGGAAAAGTCCAAAAGCTTTATAGCATACATACAAAAAATTGAAAGTGCAATAGAAATTTTAGACATCAGTGTTTGCAACTAAATTTGAAGGCTCTCTGGGGCGTTGTTTGGCAACAACAAAATATCTAACCTGCAATTTGGCGATGAAAAAAATATTGACATTTGTATCTGCAGGCAATCAAAGTCTATCTACATAAGATGATTATGTCGTGATACATGAGATTCAAAACTATCACTGTAATTGTGTGAATATGCATGTTTTTTGGTTTTGATCAAGAGTAAGTAATTCATCGTCTTTTGTATAATTTTAAATGTCGATATTGAAACATGTATTATGATTAGGTTGCGTCAATCTATGTAGTGAAATATCCACCGATGCAAGAAAAGCAGATGAAACACTGCCCAGCAAAACCAGTAGTACAGGCAATAAATGTCTTGAATTACAAAAAATATACAGGGTGTGACAGAACGTGTCAAGAATATTGAAGCTTTGGAGATGCTTCGTTTCCGTAAAACTGTATCATCTTTGATCGCCTTGCATTTCTAGACTACAGATTGAGATCAGTGATAGTTTACACATGGGTTTCATTAACAGAACTGTTCTGTAATGTAACTTACAACTTGCTGTCTTGTCGAGAAGCCTCTTATGCTTAGCGAGAAAAAAAACGCTACTTGTTCCAATAAGCGTCTTGAAGCCAAATTGATTGAAATTTTTCGGTCAAACCTTCAGACGCGCCGTTATCGAAATGAAAATTATTTTACCAACTGGCGCGTTAATCTGTTCAGCATTATTGAAAAAGGTAATGAGCTGACCCTTCTTTTTTTTTTTTAGCGAACATAAAATAAATTGCAAAGAAGTTTTGAGAAAATGTCGCTTTTTTTTGCAAGTCAGTTGCATGTAATTTCTTCAAAGACGAACAGGCTTAGTTATCCAATGTCATGGAATCAGATGCTTGCTTATATGACCTTTTCCATATTTCCACGTGTTGAATCGGCCTTTGAATTTTCCTGACAACATGCTGTCACACCCTGTATATATCCCGCAAAATATCGCATAATTGTCGTTTCAAAACTTGACTTTTACATAAGCTGTGATTTGATTCAATCTTATTTAGAATAAGAAGCATTATGTGCCCATTTCTTTACAAATTTTCGTAGAATTACCTTGAGGTTCGATGAGCTTTAAATAGTTTACCAGAGGTAATTGTGTTATGCGTAAATAAGATTTTTGCTTGTTCCAAAGTAATGTTTGAATATCCAAGTTTTCTTGCAATTTTCTAAGTTAACGATTTGCTTATCTACATTTGAAGTAAATCGCATGCATTTCTTTAACGTGATCATCATGAAAAAAGCGAAACGTCGGCCGGCAACTTTTTACTGCTTTTTTATATTTGCTCTCCCTCTCCATCGGTATTTTTTGTCTTAATTTTGTATATCTTATTCGATTTTTTAGCGATTCAATTCTATTATATCTAAACTGTTGCCTATATTTGATTGTTAAATATTTTACACGTAATATTGAGGCAAAGTATTTATATGCGGGTTACAAAGAACAAGAATAAAGAAATCATGTGTAAAGCTGCATAAAAGTTTCTACAAGGTGTTGCGATTTAAGGGTAGATGGCATGTAAAAATATGAAAGATGGTTGGGCTATATACGAGCTACAGCGCCATCTAGGAGTCACTAATCTCTTCAAAGTAGATCTGTGATTATCGCGGAAAGAAGAAACATAGCTCTGACAAATTCTCATAGAGAACGCAACCATATTTTCAGTTCATCTCGGAGAATGTTTAACTGACGCGCAATATGGTATTATGTGAGCTATCTTCAGATGGAAATCGTTAATCAATTGTTGTGCAGACTTCAAAGTTTGCTGATGTAAGGGCTCAGCAAATTCTAATGGAAAATGTCAGCATGACCATCAAACAGTGGCGAAAAACGTGAAATGGCAATTTCGATGCGATATTTTTTTCGGGTAGACACAGTTCGCGTACTTTCAGAGCATAAGAAAATTGTAGATTGTATTGTAATTAAGATGCCGTTTAATTCATTTAACCGTTCATTGATTGTATATTCTGTATTTATATTTCCGTCTGTACATAATTGTTATATTGTTAGTGCACCCGTTTATCATATATATTTTTTTCTAATTTCAGGGTTATCAAGCATACAGTTTTTTTAAATAAATTGTAAATTGATTAAAGCGTTTTGTTACAATTTGAGAGATGTATATAGAGATTTGTAAATATATTTATAAAATCTTGATGTTTGTTATTTGAATATAAAGTACTACATATGATACAATAATTTATTATTATTTAAAAAAAATAACTGTATTTCTGTATGGAGTGTCTAATATTTTCATGCCGCGTTTAAGATCTGCTATGTGGACCCGCCAGACGCTCTTTATTTTCAGCCGAAAACTGACCGGTGCGACTGCTCCTTTGTTTCTAGAGGGTCCTGAATGCGGAAGGATAAACAGATCTCCAGATATATTGACCTTTGGTCCTTTTGTATGTAGGAGTTAATATAAAAATATCCGATTGCCGAGTTAAACTGTCGAGTGTATGGAGGAGTTAAAACATGTTCCTAGATGGCTGCCGCATGTCATAGTGGAGAGTTGAAATTTAGGGATTTAAGGTTTTACTTGCGTTTGATCACGATTTGTGGAAATTGCGACTATTTATACAGTAGCGGACAAAACTTTGGAAACATATATTAACATTATTATGAACTATTTCAAATACCTAAATTAAAATTGTAAGGAACAGATAATATAAATATTAAAGTTTACCTTTGGCTCCTGTACTAATACAAGCTTATCTTACCAAATTCTCTGAAAATAAAAACATGCGTTTTTTTTAAATACGACAGTTTTTGTAACGACAAAAGTATGGTAAAAATTTCAGTTTTGTCGTATTTATTCGTTCTGCGATACTCTGATATTGCGTGCGGTAAATATTAACGTCAGTGAGAATGGCTAAAGTAAAAGAATTTTCAAAAGATTTAAAAGACGAAGTAATTGAATTATTTAGAAATGGTGCCAGAAATGTTGACTAAAAATGAACAAAGGGACGATTTCGAAAATTATTAGTAAAGATCTAAAATACGGACCATCAACGCGCTCCAGGTGCGGAAGACTAAATTAAATCGATTGTTTTGGATCGCTACATTAAACGTTTGTCCCATAAAGATCCTCGAATGGCAGCCACACAGATTTTCAAAACAATCGTAGAAGACGGTGCCAAGAATCTTTCTGTCAGAACAGTGCAGAGACGTTTTTTTGGTAGGCGTCCTGTGCAAAAGCTTATCATTTCAAAAAAATCGCATTGCTCAGTTTGAATTTTCTAAAACTCATCTAACTTGGACAGAACAACAATGGAATACAGTTTTAATGGAGCGATGAAAGCAAATTTAACGTCCAATACGAAAAAAATTCGAGAAAAAGTAACAGTTAAGCACGGTGGAGGCAACATCATGGTTTGGGGCTGTTTTTCTAGTTCTGGAACGGGTCCAATTGTTAAAATTGTTGGGAAAAAGGATAAAAAACTTTACAAAGATATTCATGCTCCCCTTTGCTGAAGAAGAAATGCCTTTACGATGGGCATTCCAGCAAGATAATGACCCCAAGCACACCACAAAATTTGTAAAGGACTGGTTAAGACTAAAAACTTAATATTCTGACATGGCCTTTGCAATCCCCGGACCTAAACCCTATAGAACATCTTTGGGAGCATGTTAAAAGACAACTGACAAAAAAAAGTTTTAAAAATAGGAAGGATTTATTTGATTATGCAAAAAATATATCGCAAAATATCCAAACAGACATCTGTAACATTTTTTTGTCTTCTATGAGCAGCAGATGTTAGGCAGTGTTAAAGGCTATGCTACCAAATATTAGCTAAACAGTATTTTTTAAATCTTTTTGAAGTTATTGTATTTAATTTTGTAATAAAAAATATGTTACCATACTCTAGTCGTATCATTTTCCGTCATAAAATAATATGAAGGTATTAATGCTAGTCTGTAGTACCACAGCAAACACAAATTGTCATTTGTATGCTCAAGTCTGTAAAGCAAACTATATGAGAAAAGAAATAGTAATTAATAAAAATAATAAAGAATACATTTTTTTTAAAATTACGAAGAATGTTTCCAAACCTTTGTCGGCTACTGTATATGTTCAAGGTATTGTGTAAACACGTGATTCTGTGAAAATGTCACTTTGACATATTTGTATAATAAAAATCTTGCCCTGACTCAGTGACCAAGATTCTGTATCATTACAGCAGATAGTGGAAATACAAATAAGAATTTAGTTTAGTAAAATGTTTATTTACAGTCGTAATTATTTCTCTTACAAATAGATAAGTGTTTTGTACATAGGGAATGAAAAGGAACATAAAATTACACGTAAAGCTTGTACACATTTATAATTTTCCTTTCTTGTATCGTTGCCTCGCCTGTGATTTAGTATACCTAGGGGTGTGTTTTACTTCCTTTTGCGTTTCTTCTGGTTCACTTTCTTTTACTGGAACAAAATAAAAAAATTATCGATAGGATAATATGACACGCTGATTTCAATATGGCCATCAAAAAAAAAATGATCTCAACAAAAACCTGATTCCAGATTCGTGACCTATGCATTCAATTTACCAAAGAACCGGATTTTAATAATGATGATAGGCCTTTATTAAAGAATACATAGTATATAAAAGTCTAGAAAAAACTATTCTACTCAACCTTCCTGATGAAGTGAATAAATTCAGGTGCCAATGAATAGAAACAAAACATCTTCACACAGAAGATAATACAATGAAACTCAACAAAAACAAAGAGGCTAAAATAGCAAAAATATAGAGAGCTAGAGTTCAAAATGTGGAGACTATTGACCAAGGGTGTAACCAATTTTGGTTGATATTGTGGATTGCAAGCATTTATGAAACTTTTCCAACAATTATGCCTTGAAACTCTTAAACATTTTATGATACGAAAATTTTATTTTGTCCCCCGTTGTTGCAATTGAACGAAGATCGGAAATCTGAGAGATAATTTAAGACCCTGATTTCACATAGTTGAAAAATTCGTGAAATTCTATTTATTACCTTTCAAGTACAAATTCTATTTGCCTAATACTCACATAAGTCAACTGGTGGGTCCAGGAGTCCATTTTTCTGACTCTTCACCCAATTCCTATATAATCTAGCTAAACCATACCCTACCATGGCTATCACTATCGTAACAAATGCCATTAACATAGGATGCTGAAATGCAAAAGGCAAACATTAATACCATTAGTCATTAATGGTGATCTTTAGGGTTGGTTGTAAAAACCAGTTTTTTTTTCTGTAATGAAAGTGAAGGTTTCAATTACCAAAGATCAGCTATGAACATCCACAAATGTGATTGTGAAAATAGTAGCTTTATGTAATATTTGATTATGTATTTTTCAGTTATTTTTACTTACTGTTGGCTTATAAGTGAAAACACAGTCTGCAACAACTATTACTGCTCCTACTATTATTCCTATACCAGCACCTAACCATGGTACTGTTTCATCAGCTGAAAAGCACATATTTATGAATAAGATGTTACAAGAAAAGGTACCATTTATTTGAATAATTAAAGCAAGTTTGCTTTAACTTCTGTATAAATATTGAGAACAAGGTAGGTTTGATCTAGTTCACAAAGAATGATTATTTCGAAAAGCAATTTATGAGAAACTTAACATGAATTCAGACAGAAAAATGTTCCTATAACCATGAAGCTATTTTTAATTGTTATTTGGTATACCTTTCTGTTCTTTGAGCATTTCTTTAGCTGTCCTGTTCAATGCCTCAATAATGTTGATATCTCCTGGCTTCAGATGTAAAGCCTTTTTATATGAATCACATGCTTCCAAGTAATGGCCTGTTGCATATTCTACCTCTGCTTTTCTGAAGTAACCCTGGAATAATTTACTAGTTTTCAAACACATGATGATCGGAAGTAACAAAGTTTACCACTAATAAAACAGAATTTTGAGAATTCACATTTGAACACTAGAGTGTGTTCTATAGTTTTTTGTGTCATATGGAATTAAAACCTGTTTAGCTACAAGTAAAAACTGTGATGTGCCTAAAAAATAAATCTACCTTAGGCCATGTAGGATTCAACTTTATTGTCTCATTAGCATCTTCCAGAGCAAAATAATACTGTTGAACTTTGAGGAAAGCATAAGATCTGTTACTGTATAGTGTGTAATTGCCTGGGTCTAACTTTACAGCATAAGTATAGTACAAGATAGCTTCTTCAAACTTCTGGTTTTTCACAGCATTGTTTCCCTTTTCTTTTAATTCTTCAGGGGACTGTTGCTGTAGAGATAATAAATAATAAGTAATGCAGATTATAAAAATGTTTGGATCAGCAAAACATTTTTTAGCTTATCCTGGATCTATTCTGATATCTTCCACAAATGAATGTCCCTTGTTCTCAACTTTAGAGGGGGGTGTTGGGATTGAGGGTTTAATGGCTAAATATAAAAACAAGTATTTTTGGCACCAGTTGCTATGAAAGGGCCTGGGATACCTGTTGTAACAGGAAATTCTAAATGACTCTATTACCTATTTTGTGCTTAGAACAGTACTATATTTAACCAAGGATTTTGATTACTGCACTACCGAGTCTCAAGAAGTAGTTGCATAGAGCTGTTCCCTCACAGAGTATGTTTACTTGTCAGACATATGTTCCTAGTTTATAAAAATGTTGAATGATAGAAATACAACCTGAGACAAAAATATATTGAACTATTACCTCTTCGGACATTTTTACTTAAAAACCTTGCTTATCCGACAATGTATGTACTCGTTTGTTTTGACGTTGCATGAAGCGGATGTGAAAAAATATAACCTCACATCTCATCTGTCAAAAGTTTGTGAATTTCATCTACATAGGCAACTAGTATCACGTCAACACTGTCCACGCTGATGTAGGGGAGGTATCGGCAGAAATAGGACTCGGCGTATTTTTTAGCATTCTATAATTTTTCAGTTATTATACTGCGTCAAGAAGCTATCTTGATTTTTTAAAATCATAACATAACATAACTTCGTTTTTTTTGCTTTTCAAAGGATCCTGACCATTTTCAAAATAATTTTTGCAGGGGTTTAAATTGGATGTTGGGAGTAAGGGAGAGTATATGTCAATTTTTTTGGTTTCCAGTCCCGCCTAATTCTACGCACCTCTTAGACATATTCCATGAATCATAGATTTCCCCATGGATTGTCCTTAAAACTTGAATAATATACAGGGTGACTTTGAAGTTGAGTCATTAATTTTCAGATAATGATTGTAGAAGGAATATAAACCAAAATATGTGTGTAAAAATAAAAAAAAAAGTAAAAAAAAATGTTTACCTTGTTTTATAAAGTATCCTCCCGACAAGTATTTCAGTGCGGACCTGTATTTGATCGTGAGGTCCCCTGTGAGGTCTTAAGTCACCTGATTCACGAGCCCGTTGTACTACATTAACAAAGGCACGAGGGGTTGGTTGCACTCGATTGGGAAACCGATCCGCATAAACATGTGCCATTTTTTATTTCGTTTGAGCCACGCAACAGATACAACTATTCACTGACACTGACTGTATACAAATGAATGAAATAATTCGTTCCAAATTCTTTCGCTTTTTTGTTTCCGATGCGATGAACCGATACGACGGATTATATCCGTTGTCGCCAAACACGAGCACATTGAGACAGGGCGGTACTCAAACTTCCAAAGGGCTATAACTTTGTTACTTTAATTTTACCAGAAAAATGGTAAAGGAAAAAAACATTTCTTTTGATCAGATCTACTCACTGTTAAAATAAATGACTCAACTTCGAAGTCACCCTGTATATATTTCCGACATACCCGTGCCGCACAACTCAGTGAGCTACGTCTGTCTGCTCGTATGCTGACGGCTAAACTGAGCGATGATGCGCGTATCCGCATATGCAACGCCGTGCTCGGTTTTGTACAATTACTACGATTCTGGGTGCTGTCAAATCTGTGAGAACTATAGACTAAGTGTATAAGCCTGTTTGACTGACACGATCCATCTGATTCCTTTGTTATATATGTTCATAGCTAACTTTTTTTCTAAGATTTGGTGTGTATGCTCTTTCAGCATAGTTGTCATTTGGCATATTTTATGAATTAGTTTGGAAATGACATATTCTAGTTGAACGATGATTTAAAGTGCAATTATTTTACAATTTTCTATCAACATGCGCACTTTTTTATACCGTCGACGGTGAATGCTTCCTCTGACTACGGACCACTGTCGTCAACGTTTGAACTCCAGCAGAGAACTGCAACATTGGGAGGCAGAATGGCATAATGTCATCTTCAGCAACGAATCGCGATTCTGTCTAGGTACGCACATTGCCAAAAAGTCAAGTTGGGGAAATTATTTTTTCCGGATGTAACACTTCTGTCACTGAGTATATGTATATTAATAGACTTATGCAGTACTCTACAGGGTGTAAACGTTATGGTAGTCATTATTGAAATGGGTAATAGGTGCGGTCAAAACAAGTCAATAGATTTTTGTCTAAATGGCTTTATAGTTTACAACCTTAAGTGCTTTATATCGACCACAATCACCACAATCTTTAAATTGGGTAATTAAGAAATAAATGGCATTAAGTTAAGCAAAAATTTTTAGTCAGTATGTAAGTCCCATTAAATTGAATATTTAGAACACATATGACAACAGCGCGTCGGTCATCATCACTCTTATCGAATCAGCAATCGATCGCAAACGGTAACAGTGGTTAGTATGTTATTTTGTTTTTGTTCGCGTACGTCGTCGTCTTGATTTACAATGTTCTCGAATCAAGAGTTCGCCATGTTGTTAGTTTACGGTGAAGCTCGTCAGAATTCAAATCTTGCAGCTCAAATTTATCGCGACAGATTTCGCCAACGGGTACACCCAGACAGAAGGACATTTGTGCAAGTGTACCAAAGACCTTGAGATACAGGAAGTGTTCAGCCCACTAATATTCGCACTCGTGAAAGACAGGTTACTGTAGAGCAGGAGGCACAATTTTAAATATCGTGGAAATCGATGCAGATATCAGCACCCGGGAATTAGGCAGCCGCGAAGAACTATCGCATACCATAGTCCATAGAATCCCACGTGAAAATTTGCTTAATCCCTACCATGTACAACGTGTGCAGGCCCTGTTACCAGAAGAATATCCTCGCCGATTAATATTCTGACAGTGGTTTTTGCACAAAAACATTGAAAATCCGGATTTTTTTAAAAACATTCTAGCGACGGACGTACTTTTAAGTGAGACGGGATATTAAATTTCCATAATACTCACACGTGGGCTCAAGAAAATCCTCATACCATTCGTGAAGGTAATTTCCAACAACGTTTTAAAATAAATATTTGGGCGGGTATTCTTGACGATCAGGTAAATGGCCCTTCCGAGTTACCCCCAAAGTTGTCAGGTGAAGGATACCTTAGCTTCTTAGCCAATAACCTACCAGAACTTTTGGGACTGACCTTAGACAACATGCCTTTACAACGGAGACAGAATTTGTGGTTTCTTCATGACGGGGCACGACCACACAATTTAGAGGCGCCATGGATTGGTCGAAATGCTCCTGATCCTCGAAAATGGCCAGCAAGATCTCCTGACCTCAATCCGATAGATTTCTGGTATTGGGGAGAACTGAAAGGGTTGGTTTATGGGGCTGATCCAATAACAACTAAAGCACAACTTCCCGAAGAAATTTTTAATGCGGCTGAAATAATAAATGGATAACTTCGAGGACTTAGAGTAAGAAGATACTGGGTTCGTCGTAATGAAGCTTGTGTGGAAAGTGAAGGACGACATTTTGAACACCTTTTTTAAATACAAAAAAAGTGCAGTGTGGGTTTTAAAAAGAAAAAAATGTATGTATCAAAATTGTGTTCCCTATTTATATGTGGATTTTTTCAATATGTTCCATAAACTTTCACACACCAGGTGAAATGCTGAGATAGTTAGTGGTAAGTCCATTTATTTTAGTTGTTTGCATTTTACTAGTACATTATCAAATAATGAAATAATACCAAGAGCCAAAAATAAAAAAACTCAATCTTTATTCACACTGCGTTCAGTCGTAATTTGCGTCTGGCATTGCGGCGTTGTCAGATTTTACTTTAAAGTCACCTTTCTCTAAAAAATGCCGTTTTGGCTCCCATGTTATTTGAAACTTTTTGCTTCTTTTAAACCCCTGTATCATCCATTTAAATAAGGACTATCATAACGTTTACACCCTGTATAATTCGACTTTCGACATCGCCCTGCAAAACGTTTGTCGTATTACGCTCAAAGAACAAATAATCTAAGCGGTGATTACTATACTTAATAGCTAGAGCGTCCACGGAAGACAGAGAAACGGTAAAGTCACAAAATATTAACGGTAAAAATATTTCCCCTAGGTGTATGTGCGATGAGTACTAGTAAACATACTGAAATGAAACAAAAACTTCGGGATGCTTTTAAATATATTGCGTAGTTCAAAATTTACAATAAATCATAATGTCGTTATAAAACCTAAGCCACTTGGTTTTCACCTGGTCATAAATACATCATTAACAATTTACACAACTGATAATATTTACACATTGGGTTGACATGTAATAGTTATACGATTACGAGAAATCAGCATATATCAATCCTAAATACACTGCTGGACGAAATTTCAGAAACGATTCTTTCAGATTCCACATGACTTTACCATTTTTATACACTCCAAATTTACACATAGATCTGAATTCTATACAAATTTGCGTTTTTTAAATACGGGGCAAAAATGTGAGCGCTGATTTTTTTGACTATTGTAAGACTAATCAAACTATCTCGTTTCAACGATATATGGCAAACAAATATCGAAAATTAAATTTTTATAACAAAACTCCCTTAGTCTGCGAAAATTACTTTTTAGGGATTATCTAGACAGTTCTTGGAGATTAAGAAACGTCAAGTGTCATTCTGTTAGTATAAATGTCAATTCCGAAAATTCTGTTTGCCCTGTAACTCGGAACCGAGGCGTTTTTTTTCTAAAATGGTAATGTCTAAAGAAGTATATCTTCATACCCCAGCGATTTTTAGTTTTACTACCGATCCTTAGGGCAGACCTGAGAATAATTTGGAGTCTACAGCTATGGTAAGTATGGAAATTCTGCGAAATCGCGGATTTATTCCAGAAGCATATATATCTTTTCCAAACAAGTGGCATATACATAACTTACAGTGTAACAACGAACTAAAGAGAGCACAACAAAAAATGCACTCATTTTCCATATCATTTTATATGTTAGTTTCTGGAGATACATACGATCACTCATACAATGAACTGTAGTAACAAAATATGACCAATGACCAATTATGTATTTTATATCACATTAATCCATGCGTCATGTAATTTTATATAGGAAAAACTCTGTATCGCCGGCACAAAACAAGATCAAATTGTCACAATAAAAAATGATTGTCTATCACATTTGCAACTGAGATAAAAACGTGAGAAAAATAACAGTATTGATAACAAGTCACGTATTCACACTTGCGCTTATCAAAACATCGTAAGCTTTCCAACCGAAAAAACATGTCTATTCTCATCATAAACTTCCATTCAATCACAAAGCCCGAAAAACAGACCAACATTGCTGTAGATCTTTTTTAGCCTGTCACAAGGTGCCACAAGTAGAATCCCAGAATGGACCCTTATGGTTAAGAGAATTACAACAAATCATCCACAAATGTTTTTCCCGTCTTGGCCACAAGGACACCTTTTTCTAAAGTATAAGAAACCAAAAAATGCAAATCAAGTTGGAATATTGGTTTGCAAGTTTTTCATACCTTCCAGAT